TTAAGGAATGTTTTTGGAGACAAGAATTTTGGTTATGATTTGACAAATTGCTGAAATTGGCCCAAATACAACAAAATTCTTGGACAAACAAAAGTTTTTGTAATTTTTAATTTTGCATTTTATTTTAGTCAGGTAACGATTATTTAAACTTATGTTGACAGATGTGTAATTTTTGTTGCAGGGAGTGTTAAAAGGTTCAGAGACGGAGGGTAGTGACAGGACCAGGTCTTCCAGGTCCAGGTAAGGTCCAGGTCCTGCAATAAAGACCGTGCTCGGAGCAGGTCAGCTCCAGATCAGCAGGCAGGTCGGGGTCCGATCAAGGGTCGTTCTCACAGTGGCTTCCGCAGAGGTCCGCGCAGGTCACACAGAGGTCACGCAGAAGGTCACACAACAGGTCCCACAGAGCGTCCCGCAGCAAGTCTCGCAGCAGGTCTCACAGCAAGTCCCACAGCAGGTCAGCAGCAAGTCCCCGCATGAAATCCGTTAGCTGTCCAAGCAGGTCCGAAGCAGGTTCACAGCAAGTCGAGTAGCCAAAGGTCCCGCAACAATTCACGAAGCAAGTCGCGAAGCAAGTGCGAAGCAAGTCCGCGAAGTAAGTCGCGAAAGCAAGTACCCGTAGCAAGTCAAGAAGCAAATCTGAAACAAGTCCCTACAACAAGTCTCAAAGCAGTCAAAGTCAAGGTAAATAAACGAGGGAAAAAGTCACAATTACAGTGATGGAACAATACACAAATAGCTCGCACTGAGAGAGGAGCTTGCGACGACATTTTGCCCAACTTGACCATTTACACGTGTGACTTGTATATGGTCTTAGTGGTCTGAATATCATAGTTTTTTCTCTCTCTTATGTGCAGGTTATATATGGTAAGGTAAACACACTGCGCATATTATCTATAATGAATGTACTTTCTTTTTATTGTAGTTTTAATATAATGGTTGTGTTTAACTTGCCTCACCCACTGTGTAACATCATCACCCACACCTACTACTACACATCACCAACACCATCAACCACTGGCTTCACCCTCTACCACCTCACCACCCCATCACCAACCACCATCACCACCACCATCACCACCACCCATCACCCACTACCACCACCATAGTTATGGAACATATCAATGACTGGTTTGTATGTTATTTTCTACTATTGGTTCCCAGCCATGGGCAAGATGTCTTCACTGATTCTTTTTTTTCCACTAGGCTGTTGCTAGCCAGTTCATCACAGCATGGTTGATCTGCCACTTGCCAGAGACGTGTTCAATTTCTTTTAAAGACTTCAACACTCACTCCAGAGTGTTTTTGATTTCACACTCCAGTAGAGTTTTCTGACTTCAAACCCACTTCCAGTAGTGTTTCTTGATTTTCAAACCCACTCCAGCAGTGTTTCTTGACTTCAACACTCAGTAGTGTTTCTTGCTTCAAACTCCAGTAGTGTTTTTGATTTTCAACACTCCAGTCGTGTTTCTTGATTTCAACACCGTAGTGTTTCTTGACTTCAACACTCCAGTAGTGTTTCTTGACTTCAAACACTCCAGTAGTGTTTCATGTCTTCAACACTTCTTCCTGTTGTCCCAGGTCACGTTCCGCTCCTAGCTCCGGGTCCCGGGCGGTCACGTTCTCGATCACGTTCTTTCCCATTCAAGTCGAGATCTGGCTCTGGGTATCCCCTCAGGCAGCTAGGTCCAGATCAGTGTCTCCCCCAGCCCATCAGAAGGTAGGCCGTGTATAATCAATCACGCACGGGTTTTCGAATACGTTCATTAGTCACTCGATCAACTTTGCCACTGTCTTGCATTTCATTACGGTGAATGGTTGTCAACACTGTGACATCTCGTTTGTCATGCCACCGTAATGCCATGATGTCATTGGCAGTAAACACCTGCACGTCATCACCACGAACACCTGCGTTGAGCCTGGGCATATGTTTACGATTAGAACGCACTGTGCCACACACATCTGTCTTGTTCACTCGCATGAAATCACTGAGTAATGGGCTTGTGTACCAGTTATTGGTATATAATGTATGGCCCTTACCAAGATAAGGTGCCATCATGTTTCTCACTAACGTCACCTGATATACCCAATAACATCTTGGTATCTTTCAATGTTTTACTACCCGTGTATACAACAATATCCAACACCAGGCCACTGTCACAATCACAGAGTACAAACAATTTTATACCAAAGCGGTTCCTCTTGCTCGTATATACTGCTTGAATACAGTCCTACCTTGAACAAAATCAAAGACTCGTCAATTACAAGATTCTTGAATGGATAAAAGTATATCCTGAACTTTTGTTTGAGATACATGAAAACATTTCTAATCTGTATAACCTGTCACTTCTGTCAGGCCTGGTTTTGTCAGAGAAGTGCAACATACGTAAGAGTAAGATAACCTGTTCACTGGTATTATTTCACTGAAGGATGGGGTACAAATTAGCCGATCTGTGGACCAGTATGCTTTTATATTATGCTTATAGACGTGAGGCATAAGCATTATTGTTGCAAAAAGCAAATACATTTCTGCAACAGTCCGTCTCTTTCCACCTGTGTAGTCTTGACTGTGGTGATAAGATCGTATTTGCCATGGTGTACTGAAAATACTTATTACTTTCCCTGACAATAGTTTCCATCAATGGCTGGTCAAAGAATAATTCAAAGAATTCCAGTTCATTGCCGTGGTTCCAAGGGACAGGTAGGTAGAATTCCACTTTGCGAGTCATCAAAGTGGTGAGGCTGGGAACAAAATTGGGATTTTGCTGCCAATCCCAGATACGGTTTGCTGGTGGATACTGGACATCATAGGCTGGTTGTACGGGTGGTTGTGGCGGGCTGGTGGGTGACGCTCCGCTTTGCCTTGAACTGACGAGTCAGCAGCGTGGGTTCCCGCGTGGCACAGCGAGTCACGCATGGCGGTGCCACTACCACCACCACCCCACTAACACCATCCACTGATGTCTGTGGCCCATCCATGCCAAGTGTAGCCACATCATCCTCACTATCACTACCTAAAACGGGTGTAGGGCCACGGGATGTACTCCGGGATGTACTACGGGATGTACTCCGTCCCCTGGGCATAGCATAGGGTACACTACCCGAGCGCATGCGGCGGCGCACATACCGACGCTTCACTGGTGAGTATGTTTCCTCACTATCACTACTCGAATGATCGTCGAGCGCAATAAAATCACAATCCACGTCAGAATCATCGTCATTACTGAAGTCAGAGGCCAGGCCACGGGAAAATATTAGTTTTCTCTTACGTTTAGGAACAACCGACCGTGAGAATTTTGGCGTAGATCTACGGTTTGGACACTCACCGACCAGCCGTAGATCTACGGGACGGACCCTGAAAGGGTTAAGGCACACGGAATAGGAGGAGAAATATTTTCTTGGGTAGAGGCATGGCTGACAGAGAGTTTGCATAAATGAGGAGAAATCAGAATGAGGGCACATCACAAGCGGTGTTCCTCAGGGGTCAGTGTTGGGCCCGTTGTTGTTCACAATTTACATAAACAACATAGATGAGGGAATAAATAGCGACATAAGCAAATTTGCTGATGACGCCAAAATAGGCCGTCCAATTCATTCTAATAAGGACACTAGAGCACTCCAGGATGATTTGAATAGACTGATGCAATGGTCGGAGAAGTGGCAGATGCAGTTCAATATTGACAAATGCAAAGTTCTAAATGTTGGACAGTTAAATAACCATGCCACATATAAACTAAATAATGTAGATCTTAATACTACTGATTGCAAAAAGGATTTAGGAGTTCTGGTTAGCAGTTATCTAAAACCAAGACAACAGTGCATTAGTGTTTGCAATAAAGCTAACAGAATTCTTGGCTTCATATCTAGAAGTATAAATAATAGAAGTCCTCAGGTTGTTCTTCAACTCTATATATCCTTGGTTAGGCCTCATTTAGACTATGCTGCTCAGTTCTGGTCACCGTATTACAGGATGGATATAAATGCTCTGGAAAACGTACAGAGGAGGATGACAAAGATGATCCCATGTATCAGAAATCTTCCATATGAGGATAGACTGAGGACCCTGAATCTGCACTCTCTCGAAAGGCATAGAATTAGGGGGGATATGATCAAGGTGTATAAATAGAAAACAGGAATAAATAAAGGGGATGTAAATAGTGTGCTGAAAATTTCCAGCCAAGAAAGGACTCGCAGCAATGGTTTCAAGTTGGAAAAATTCAGATTCAGGAAGGATATAGGAAAGCACTGGTTTAGTAATAGAGTTGTGGACGAGTGGAACAAACTGCCGAGTACAGTTATTCAGGCTAAAGCGTTGTGTAGTTTTAAAAATAGGTTAGATAAAAATATGAGTGGGTGTGGGTGGGTGTGAGTTGGACCTGACTAGTTTGTGCTGCTGGGTCTGGTGCAGTGCTCCATCCTTGAGTGGAGGTGACCAGACTGGGTGGGTCATTGGGCTAATCTGGGGAGGGTGGGTCATTGGGCTAATCCGAGGGGGTCACATGGACCTGCTCCACATGGGTCAGTAGGCCTGTTGCAGTGTTCCTTCTTTCTTATGTTCTTATACCGTAGGCAGGAGAGGTGCAGCAGACGTAGGTGGTGTCACATTTGTTCACTGTGGAAGTAGGTCGTGCCCAAGGGTTAGGCAAGCGAAGAATTCCCAAGTATTAAGATCCCAAGAAGTTGCAGTGTCTGACAGGATTGTAGAATTCATCTATTGACAGTTTGGAGGGACTTCTGTACTGTCATATTGAGCACCTTTGCAAAGACAGTGATTATGTATGAGTGAGGTGAAAGTGTTGAATGATGATGAAAGTATTTTCTTTGGGGATTTTCTTTCTTTTTGGATCGCCCTGCCTAGGTAGGAGACGGCCAACTTATTGCAAAAAAAAAAAATCATTACTATGTATCATATCATTATTATACACAGTACAGAAGGTTTCCAGTGTGTCCGTAAGTTGAAGACTTACTGTACATCTCACCCAGATGCATTTACCGTTCTCCAGGATGCAAAACGCTCCAGACATCACCATGTCAATGTGTCATGGTTGCGGCGGACTGAGTACATCTCGACAGAGCCGACACGCTTCCAACCACAGACTAATGAGAAGATTGAAGCCACAGTTGGTTTTGCCACACGCAGGAAGAATGCTTCGGTGAGTACTGGTGATCCTCGCTTTACTGTGCTTCCACTTATGATATTTTGCACCAATGTTAAGTGGAAATATCACTGTGGAAATAAATGGTATAAAATACCGACACAATGGAAAAATAAACACAGAAGCAGTATAATGTGACCCTTTATTCACAATGTTTCACCCACACAGTGGACTTTATCAAGTCACAAACAGATCTACCTGGGTGAATAGTACGAGAGTATAAATAAAGGATCTCATTATACTGCTTATGTGTTTAATTTTGGAAATATCACTATCATAAAATACTGTATAGTAGAGTACAGTACTGTATAGTAGAGTACAGTACTGTATAGTAGAGTACAGTACTGTAGAGTACAGTACAGTACTGTATAGTAGAGTACAGTACTGTATAGTAGAGTACAGTACTGTATAGTAGAGTACAGTACTGTATAGTAGAGTACAGTACTGTATAGTAGAGTACAGTACTGTATAGTAGAGTACAGTACTGTAGAGTACAGTACAGTACTGTATAGTAGAGTACAGTACTGTATAGTAGAGTACAGTACTGTATAGTAGAGTACAGTACTGTATAGTAGAGTACAGTACTGTATAGTAGAGTACAGTACTGTATAGTAGAGTACAGTACTGTATAGTAGAGTACAGTACTGTATAGTAGAGTACAGTACTGTATAGTAGAGTACAGTACTGTATAGTAGAGTACAGTATAGTACTGTATAGTACACTACACTATGTCTAATTCTTAAGTAGTCTTAATTTGGCTAAAATGTGCTGCATATTACTGACTTTATTTTGTACCTAACAGTATTTTATTACAAGTGAAGCTACATTATCTTTCTACTGCATAAAAAGAACTAATAATTTGAATTTTGATTTTTAATTTTGAAGACAACAATTTATCTGTGGCGGCAGAAGAAGGACTGAGCTAGAGAATACAACGTTACCGACGTTTTTATATAGATGTCAGGCATGAGGCTTAAAGATTTGTCCTTCAAAATAATGTAAAAACTTAAGAATAGAGAAGTTCCACAGTAGGCCCGCAGTAGGCAGATTATACTCACACTCAGTTTTTCTGGCATTTGTGTGTGTATAGTGTTACTTTCAAGCTACCCAGGTACTCATTTAAGGGTCACTACTGGTTAGTATGTTCCAAACATCTGCAACTGTGTAAGTTACTAAGTGCTTTCCTGTATCCTTTCTGTAATATTAATACAGTGGACCCCCGCTTAACGATCACCTCCGAATGCGACTAATTATATAAGTGTATTTATGTAAGTGCGTTTGTACGTGTATGTTTGGGGGTCTGAAATGGACTAATCTACTTCACAATATTCCTTATGGGAACAAATTCGGTCAGTACTGGCACCTGAACATACTACTGGAATGAAAAAAGTTCGTTAACCGGGGGTCCACTGTATTTAACCCGTAAACGGTCCAAACAGATCAACGTTCAAATTCGTAGAGCTACAAAAGTACATCTACTTTTTTTTACATATTTTCAAATATAACAAAAAGAAAATGTAGATAAAAGTTTTTTTTACACGTTTTCAGATGTAAAACAAAAAAGAAGATCTACATTTTTTTACATGCTTTCAGATGTTGAAAAAAACGTATACAGTGGACCCCCGGTTGACGATATTTTTTCACTCCAGAAGTATGTTCAGGTGCCAGTACTGACCGAATTTGTTCCCATAAGGAATATTGTGAAGTAGATTAGTCCATTTCAGACCCCCAAACATACACGTACAAACGCACTTACATAAATACACTTACATAATTGGTCGCATTCGGAGGTGATCGTTATGCGGGGGTCCACTGTATACGTTTGGACCATTTAAGGGTTAAAGGAAGGGGTTGGGGTATTTGCTATTTGGAGGGACATTTAAACTGTCGTGTCTGTACGCCTCTGGCAAGACAGTGATGGTGTGAATGATGGTGGGAATGCTTCTTTTTCAGGTCACCCTGCCTCGGTGTTAAAAAAATAAGAACTTAAAAGACTAATTCTTGGCATTTCAGGATGAAAACGTCTACATTGATCGTGAAAGTCAACTCGAAGCCATAGAGAAGACCTTCCAGGATGTTAAATGTCCCCTTGAGAACCACTACAGCAAGCCTGGGGTCACAGCTGTGGAAGAACTGCCGATCTACCCAGACTTCTCTCTCTGGAAGTACCCTTGTGCCCAGGTCATCTTCGACTCAGATCCTGCGCCGGTGGGGAGACCCATGCCTGCACAACTGGAAGAAATGTCCCAGGCTATGATTAGGTAAGCATCTCCTCTATTGCACACTCTCTCTTAGGTTTATTAACTCTCAAAGGTATTTTTTTTTTGTACTCACCTAATTGTGGTTGCAGGGGTTGAGTCACAGCTCCTGAGTCTATCTCTTCACTGGTTGCTACTAGGGGTGTGTTTGTCTGTTTATCTGTCTGTCTGTGTTTGTGTGATTTTTTTCTTTGCTTTTGAATTTACAATGTATTAGGCTATCAGTTTAATGGACCTCAGTTTAATGGACCTTGGTTTAATGGACCTCAGTTTAATGGACCTCAGTTTAATGGACCTTGGTTTAATGGACCTCAGTTTAATGGACCTCAGTTTAATGGACCTCGGTGTAATGGACCTTGGTTTAATGGACCTCAGTTTAAAGAACGTCGGTTTAATGGATCTCAGTTTAATGGACTCCAGAAATACAGGGTAAAATCCACTGGTTCAGTTGATGTGTAACCAACAAAATTATTAGTTCCAGAATTACCCATTATTGTTCCATTCAAGATAAAAGCAATCTCACCTCTGTCTACCACAGTCAACATTACCAGCCACTCTCTCATGCTCCTCCGTTAAATTGAGTCTGAACTGAATCACGAAATTGTAATGACACAATTGCAAAGAAACCATACCAGTGGCTTACGTGCTGGCCTGGAGTTTTACAACTCATTCTCCACAAGTTCAGTCCCCGCCTGTGGTATGGTTTGAGTCTTAACTGTGTACAGGAAGGCGCTGCATATATGCCACATCATTTTGGTGTCCCACATTTTTGTTGGTTTTCAATTGAGTCACTGTTCACTATGTTTGGTGCTTTTACTGGTTTCTGCATTTTTGCACAACAGTTGCATAAGGCAGTGGCAACTGGCACCATATTTTAAGGTAAGTATTGTATGCATAGTAGCTCCCTTGTATCCACGGGGGATTCCTTCCAGGACCTACCATGGATACCCGGAACTGTGGATAGTAGGGACTCCTATATGTAAGTCGTTTTTCATTTACATACATACCTGTGATAAACTTTAATTGATAAATTATGTAAAATAAGTCTAGAATTAACACTTTTTCATTGATGGGAAGCACTTCACGGCTTCTCTACTTTTGCACTTTGGGGTCATTATTAAGCAAAATTAAGGCTTATTTTTGGGCTAGAGTTAACCGTGGATAACTGAAACTGTGGATATCAAATCTGTGGATACAGGCACCCTACTGTATTAAATCTCTGACCATTTTTGCTTACTTACAGGGGTGTGATGGATGAATCGGGCGAACAATTTGTGGCATACTTTTTACCCACGGAGGAGACGCTTAGGAAGCGGAAGCGAGACATCGAGGCAAACATGGACTACATGGAAGACGATGAATACGACTACATTATGGCGCGTGAGTACAACTGGAACGTGAAGAACAAGGCGTCCAAGGGCTACGAGGAGAACTACTTCGTGGTGCTACGCAATGATGGCGTGTATTATAACGAACTGGAGACCAGGTCAGTGCCTCTCTTGTGATAAATGGTTTATAAAACCCACACATTGAGAACAAGATACAGTGGACCCCCGCTTAACGATCACTTCCCAATGCGACCAATTATGTAAGTGTGTTTGTACGTGTATGTTTGGGGGTCTGAAATGGACTAATCTACTTCACAATATTCCTTATGGGAACAAATTCGGTCAGTACTGGCACCTGAACATACTTCTGGAATGAAAAAATATTGTTAACCGGGGGTCCACTGTACTTGTGCAACTTTTTTGAATCTTTATTCTGGAAATGTTTCAGCAACCAGTGGCTTCTCAGTCCATTACAGAGAAGAATGGTGGAAGTAGAGGAGAAATTTGAGGTAATCAGTCCCTCATCCTGGAAACGATGTGTTCAGTCCACCAGTCTTCAAGACTGATGGACTGAACACATCAGTTCCAGGCTGTGGGACTGATTACCTCAAGCTCTTCCTCTATAACCACTGTTCTCCTCTGTATTGGACTGATGAAGCCACTCGCTTATGAAACGCCTCTAATACTCGGAAAGCCAGATTTATTTTTTATTACTGAAATATTGTTCTGGGGAAGAGCTCTTGATCAAATGAATCAGAGCTGCCTACCCCTACCTTAGTGTGTACCTGATTACCATCCACTCCCAAGACATTATATGACCTCCCTACAGGTTTATTGTTTCCCAGTGATATACTACTACTATTAATACTACTGATACTACTACTAGTACTAGAAATACTACTAGTATTAGTACTACTACCCAACTAATACTATTAATACTACTGCTAATAAATAATAAAATTAATAACAATTTCTTTTTTAAATATATATGTATTACTTGGGGAATATAACATGTGATATCACTTGGGGAATATAACATGTGATATCACTTGGGGAATATAACATGTGATATCACTTGGGGAATATAACATGTGATATCACTTCGGGAATATAACATGTGATATCTCTTGGGGAATATAGCATGTGACATCGCTTGTAATAATGACATTTCCGGCAGAGTGCGGCTGAGCAAGCGTCGTCTCAAACAAGGTCAACAACCCAACAACTCGCGACTGGTCGTCCGTCATCGACCTCTGATAGCCCAGGAGCACAAGACCCAACGCTTCCGAGAGCGCATGATGGAGCCTCCAGGAGAAGACGAAGAGGAGGAGGAAGAGGAGGAGGAAGAAGAAGAGGAGGAGGAGATGGAAGTTGAACAGAATGATAAAGGTTTGTAAATTTGCTCGCATCAGTTTGTCGTTTGGCTGATGGGAGTGAATGGGAAATGAGGATGAAATTTATTTTTGAGGGTCTGTCTGAGGCCCTTTCAGCAGAACTGCTGAAGGTGGAGCAAGTGACACTCAGATTTAATGAAAATCTACATTAATGTCTTGTCTGTGCATGATTGAAATGTTTTGTCGTTTAAAAAATAGGTTAGACAAGTAAATGAGTGGGTGTAGGTGGGTGTGAGTTGGACCTGCTTAGCTTGGGCCAGTAGGCCTGCAGCAGTGCTCCTTAAGTGTGTATGACTTGGACCTGCCTTCAGAGTGCAGGTACTGTACTTTCCACCACCACTTCCCTTCCTTCACAGTGCAGGTACTGTACTGTCCACCACCACTACCCTTCCTTCACAGTGCTGGTACTGTACTATCCACCACCACTACCCTTCCTTCACAGTGCAGGTACTGTACTATCCACCACCACTACCCTTCCTTCACAGTGCAGGTACTGTACTGTCCACCACCACTACCCTTCCTTCACAGTGCTGGTACTGTACTGTCCACCACCACTTCCCTTCCTTCACAGTGCAGGTACTGTACTGTCCACCACCACTACCCTTCCTTCACAGTGCAGGTACTGTACTGTCCACCACTACCCTTCCTTCACAGTGCAGGTACTGTACTGTCCACCACTACCCTTCCTTCACAGTGCAGGTACAGTACTGTCCACCACCACTACCCTTCCTTCACAGTGCAGGTACTGTACTGTCCACCACCACCCTTCCTTCACAGTGCAGGTACTGTACTATCCACCACCACCACCCTTCCTTCACAGTGCAGGTACTGTACTGTCCACCACCACTACCCTTCCTTCACAGTGCTGGTACTGTACTGTCCACCACCACTACCCTTCCTTCACAGTGCAGGTACTGTACTGTCCACCACTACCCTTCCTTCACAGTGCAGGTACAGTACTGTCCACCACCACTACCCTTCCTTCACAGTGCAGGTACTGTACTGTCCACCACCACTACCCTTCCTTCACAGTGCAGGTACTGTACTGTCCACCACTACCCTTTCTTCACAGTGCAGGTACAGTACTGTTCACCACCACTACCCTTCCTTCACAGTGCAGGTACTGTACTGTCCACCACCACTACCCTTCCTTCACAGTGCAGGTACTGTACTGTCCACCACTACCCTTCCTTCACAGTGCAGGTACTGTACTGTCCACCACTACCCTTCCTTCACAGTGCATGTACAGTACTGTCCACCACCACTACCCTTCCTTCACAGTGCAGGTACTGTACTGTCCACCACCACCCTTCCTTCACAGTGCAGGTACTGTACTATCCACCACCCTTCCTTCACAGTGCAGGTACTGTACTGTCCACCACCACTACCCTTCCTTCACAGTGCTGGTACTGTACTGTCCACCACCACTACCCTTCCTTCACAGTGCAGGTACTGTACTGTCCACCACTACCCTTCCTTCACAGTGCAGGTACAGTACTGTCCACCACCACTACCCTTCCTTCACAGTGCAGGTACTGTACTGTCCACCACCACTACCCTTCCTTCACAGTGCAGGTACTGTACTGTCCACCACTACCCTTCCTTCACAGTGCAGGTACAGTACTGTCCACCACCACTACCCTTCCTTCACAGTGCAGGTACTGTACTGTCCACCACAACCCTTCCTTCACAGTGCAGGTACAGTACTGTCCATCACCACTACCCTTCCTTCACAGTGCAGGTACTGTACTGTCCACCACAACCCTTCCTTCACAGTGCAGGTACAGTACTGTCCACCACCCACTACCCTTCCTTCACAGTGCAGGTACTGTACTGTCCACCACCACTACCCTTCCTTCACAGTGCAGGTACTGTACTGTCCACCACCACTACCCTTCCTTCACAGTGCAGGTACTGTACTGTCCACCACCACTACCCTTCCTTCACAGTGCAGGTACTGTACTGTCCACCACTACCCTTCCTTCACAGTGCAGGTACAGTACTGTCCACCACCACTACCCTTCCTTCACAGTGCAGGTACTGTACTGTCCACCACAACCCTTCCTTCACAGTGCAGGTACAGTACTGTCCACCACCACTACCCTTCCTTCACAGTGCAGGTACAGTACTGTCCACCACCACTACCCTTCCTTCACAGTGCAGGTACTGTACTGTCCACCACAACCCTTCCTTCACAGTGCAGGTACAGTACTGTCCATCACCACTACCCTTCCTTCACAGTGCAGGTACTGTACTATCCACCACCACCACCCTTCCTTCACAGTGCAGGTACTGTACTGTCCACCACCACCCTTCCTTCACAGTGCAGGTACTGTACTGTCCACCACCACTACCCTTCCTTCACAGTGCAGGTACTGTACTATCCACCACCACCACCCTTCCTTCACAGTGCAGGTACTGTACTACCCACCACCACTACCCTTCCTTCACAGTGCAGGTACTGTACTATCCACCACCACTACCCTTCCTTCATAGTGCAGGTACTGTACTGTCCACCACCACCCTTCACAGTGCAGGTACTGTACTTCCCACCACTACCCTTCCTTCACAGTGCAGGTACTGTACTGTCCACCACCACCCTTCCTTCACAGTGCAGGTACTGTACTATCCACCACCACCCTTCCTTCACAGTGCAGGTACTGTACTTCCCACCACTACCCCTCCTACAGAGTGTAGGCACCGTACTATCCACCACTACTCCTACAGAGTGCAGGCACTGTACTATCTACCACTACTACCGAGTGTAGGCACCGTACTATCCACCACTACTCCTACAGAGTGTAGGCACCCTACTATCCACCACTACTCCTACAGAGTGCAGGCACTGTACTATCCACCACTACTCCTACAGAGTGTAGGCACTGTGCTATCCACCACTACTCTTACAGAGTGTAGGCACCGCACTATCCACCACTACTCCTACAGAGTGTAGGCACCATACTATCCACCACTACTCCTACAGAGTGTAGGCACTGTACTATCCACCACTACTCCTACAGAGTGCAGGCACCATACTATCCACCACTATTCCCACAGAGTGTAGGCACTGTACTATCCACCACTACTCCTACAGAGTGTAGGCACCGTACTATCCACCACTACTCCTACAGAGTGTAGGCACCATACTATCCACCACTACTCCTACAGAGTGTAGGCACCGTACTATCCACCACTACTACAGAGTGCAGGCACCGTACTATCCACCACTACCTCTCATACAGAGTGCAGACACTGTAGTGCAAAGCAATTTAAAATTCCAAAAGAACAGTAACTTGTCACACTCTAATATATCAAATCCTCAAATTATTATCATTATTGTTATTATTATTATTATTATTATTATTTTAATTATTATTATTAAGTGGTGCACTTAGGAGTCTGTGGAGACAGAGAACTTTGTCCTTGGAGGCAAAGAGGGGAATGTATGAGAGTATAGTTTTACCAACGCTCTTATATGGATGTGAAGCATGGGTGATGAATGTTGCAGCGAGGAGAAGGCTGGAGGCAGTGGAGATGTCATGTCTGAGGGCAATGTGTGGTGTGAATATAATGCAGAGAATTCGTAGTTTGGAAGTTAGGAGGAGGTGCGGGATTACCAAAACTGTTGTCCAGAGGGCTGAGGAAGGGTTGTTGAGGTGGTTCGGACATGTAGAGAGAATGGAGCGAAACAGAATAACTTCAAGAGTGTATCAGTCTGTAGTGGAAGGAAGGCGGGGTAGGGGTCGGCCTAGGAAGGGTTGGAGGGAGGGGGTAAAGGAGGTTTTGTGTGCGAGGGGCTTGGACTTCCAGCAGGCATGCGTGAGCGTGTTTGATAGGAGTGAATGGAGACAAATGGTTTTTAATACTTGACGTGCTGTTGGAGTGTGAGCAAAGTAACATTTATGAAGGGATTCAGGGAAACCGGCAGGCCAGACTTGAGTCCTGGAGATGGGAAGTACAGTGCCTGCACTCTGAAGGAGGGGTGTTAATGTTGCAGTTTAAAAACTGTAGTGTAAAGCACCCTTCTGGCAAGACAGTGATGGAGTGAATGATGGTGAAAGTTTTTCTTTTTCGGGCCACCCTGCCTTGGTGGGAATCGGCCAGTGTGATAATAATAATAATATTACTCTCATTTGGCAGTGTTCAAACTGCCAAGGTCACGTACTGCCGTTTGAGTGCATGGTAATTAGATTTCATGGAAAGTAGGGAAGGCTAGCTCCGGTTCCCTGGATCAAGAGTTCATTGTTATCATTTAAGGAATGTTTTTGGAGAAAGAATTCTTGGTTATGATTGACAAATTTCTGAAATTGGCCAAACAAAATTGGACAAACAAAAGTTTTTGTATTTTTTAATTTTGCATTTTATTTTTAGTCAGGTAATGATTATTTAAACTTATTATTGACAGATGTTTAATTTTTTGTTGCAGGGAGTGTTAAAGGTTCAGATGACGAGGGTAGTGACAGGTCCAGGTCCAGGTCCAGGTCCAGGTCCAGGTCTGCAAGTAAAGACCGTGCTCGGAGCAGGTCAGGCTCCAGATCACGCAGCAGGTCGGGGTCACGATCGAGGAGTCGTTCTCACAGTGGCTCACGCAGCAGGTCCCACAGCAGGTCACACAGCAGGTCACGCAGCAGGTCACACAATAGGTCCCACAGCAGGTCCCGCAGCAAGTCTCGCAGCAGGTCTCACAGCAAGTCCCACAGCAGGTCACGCAGCAAGTCCCGCAGCAAATCCCGTAGCAGGTCCCAAAGCAGGTCACGAAGCAGGTCTCACAGCAAGTCGCGTAGCAAGTCCCGCAACAATTCACGAAGCAAGTCGCGAAGCAAGTCGCGAAGCAAGTCGCGAAGTAAGTCGCGAAGCAAGTCCCGTAGCAAGTCACGAAGCAAATCTCGCAACAAGTCCCACAACAAGTCTCAAAGCAGGTCAAAGTCAAGGTAAACATAACGAGGAAAAAGTCACAATACCGTGACTGGAACAATACACAAATAGCACGCACGGAGAGAGGAGCTTGCGACGACATTTCTGCCCAACTTGGACCATTTACACGTGTGACTTGTATATGATCTAATGTGGTCTGAAATATCATAAGTTTTTCTCTCTCTTATGTGCAGGTTATTTATGTAAGGTAAACACACTGCCATATTAGTCTATAATGAATGTACTTTCATTGTAGTTTTAATAATAATGGTTGTGTATTAACTTGCCTCACCACTGTGTACCATCATCACCCACCACCACTACCTACCACCATCACCAACGCCATCACCACTGGCATCACCCTCTACCACCATCACCACCACCATCACCACCACCATCACTACCACCATCACTACCACCATCACTACCACCATCACCCACTACCACCACCATAGTTATGACATATCAATGACTGGTTTGTATGTTATTTCTACTATTGGTTCCCAGCCAGGGGCCAGATGTCTACACTGATTCTTTTTTTCCACTAGGCTGTTGCTAGCCCACAGTCATCACAGCCTGGTTGATCTGCCACTTGCCAGAGACAGTGTTCCAATTTCCTCTTAAAGACTTCAACACTCACTCCAGTAGTGTTCCTTGAAGACTTCAACACTCTAGCAGTGTTTCTTGACTTCAACACTCCAGTAGTGTTTCTTGATTTCAACACTCCAGTAGAGTTTCTTGACTTCAACACTCCAGTAGTGTTTCTTGATTTCAACACTCCAGCAGTGTTTCTTGACTTCAACACTCCAGTAGTGTTTCTTGACTTCAACACTCCAGTAGCGTTTCTTGATTTCAACACTCCAGTAGTGTTTCTTGATTTCAACACCAGTAGTGTTTCTTGACTTCAACACTCCAGTAGTGTTTCTTGACTTCAACACTCCAGTAGTGTTTCATGACTTCAACACTTCTTCCTGTTGTCCCAGGTCACGTTCCCGCTCCGCCTCCGGGTCCCGGGCGTCACGTTCTCGATCACGTTCTCCCATCAAGTCGAGATCTGGCTCTGGGTCCCCTTCAGGCAGCAGGTCCAGAAGTGTCTCCCCAGCACCATCAGAAAGGTAGGCCTCTCATTTATTTTGTATCTAAAGCCTAAAATATCAACATTTTTCACCATTTAACATTTCACTTTCCATAACATAAAGAGGTTCCATTTAACCCTTTCAGGCTTTTGGCCGTACTAGTACGGCTTACGCACCAGGGTTTTTGACGTACTAGTACGCCTAAATTCTAACGCCCTCAAATCTAGTGAGAGAAAGCTGGTAGGCCTACATATGAAAGAATGGGTCTATGTGGTCAGTGTGCGCGGTATAAAAAAAATCCTGCAGCACACAGTGCATAATGAGAAAAAAAAAACTTTGACCGTGTTTTTGGATTAAAACAGTGACTTTGCACTGTATTTTCGTATGGTATTTATTGTTGTATTCTAGTTTTCCTGGTCTCATTGTATAGAATGGAAGACATATTACAGAAATTGAGATGATTTTGACTGGTTTTATAAAGAAAACTACCTTGAAATTGCACTCAAAGTAGCAGAAATGTTTGATTTTTACCAAAGTTCAAAAGTAAACAAATCATGCTATGCGTCCAATACACGTCAACTGGTGAGTCTAATATTCTTTCACAAGTGCGCTGATAATATTTATACCATTTCTACACCAATGCAGTAGTCTGCATAACAGTAAATCTTCTATTTTTTTGTGAGAATAAAAATTCAAAGTGGAAAGGAAAAAAATGTAAGAGGGGCCTGGGAACATGACTAATGAACAGAGGAAATGTTATTTTAGTGCCAGGAATGTCTTTTTTGTTTATTCTGGACCCTATTCGGAAATTAGCATCTTTTGAAATTTGTGTGAAATTGGCAAAATTTCTAAATTCTGACCACTGTATTGGATAGTTGAAATCGGTAAATGGGTGGTTTCTTGTACTCATTCGATAGAAAAAATGGAGTTCTAGCAAAATAGTTATGATTTTTGTTGACAAGTACAATGGAATTGGCCGAAAATAGGGCTCAAAGTGGGCAAAATCGCCAATGCATAAACATCGTCGAGTCCGCTAACTTCACGAATGCATAATTCCGTAAGTTTTCAATCAAATTTCATAATTTTGGTGTCATTATGATCAGGAAAAGATTCTCTATCTTTTCATAAGAAAAAATAATTTTTTTTTTTAAATTTGGCCGACCCTGAGAACAAGTCTCTGAGAGGGCCTGTCGACCCTGAAAGGGTTAACCGATGATCACTGTATCGGTTTGAAGTACGTATTAATATATACAGTGGACCCCCGGTTAACGATATTTTTTCACTCCAGAAGTATGTTCAGGTGCCAGTACTGACCGAATTTGTTCCCATAAGGAATATTGTGAAGTAGATTAGTCCATTTCAGATCCCCAAACATACACGTACAAACGCACTTATATAAATACACTTACATAATTGGTCGCATTCGGAGGTAATCGTTATGCGGGGGTCCACTGTACTTAAAACTGTACCATTGTCTCAAGGTTCCCTCACTAAGTCAAACAAGGAGAGACAATAACATCTCAAGGTTTCTCACTAAGTCAAACAAGGAGAGACAATAACTGTCTCAAGGTTCCCTCACTAAGTCAAACAAGGAGAGACAATAACTGTCTCAAGGTCCCCCCACTAAGTCAAACAAGGAGAGACAATAACATCTCAAGGTTCCCTCACTAAGTCAAACAAGGAGAGACAATAACGTCTCAAGGTTTCTCACTAAGTCAAACAAGGAGAGACAATAACTGTCTCAAGGTTCCCTCACTAAGTCAAACAAGGAGAGACAATAACTGTCTCAAGGTTCCCTCACTAAGTCAAACAAGGAGAGGCAATAACGTCTCAAGGTTCCCTCACTAAGTCAAACAAGGAGAGACAATAACGTCTCAAGGTTCCCTCACTAAGTCAAACAAGGAGAGACAATAACGTCTCAAGGTTTCTCACTAAGTCAAACAAAGAGAGACAATAACTGTCTCAAGGTTCCCTCACTAAGTCAAACAAGGAGAGACAGTAATGTCTCAAGGTTTCTCACTAAGTCAAACAAGGAGAGACAATAATTTCTCAAGGTTCCCTCACTAAGACAAACAAGGAGAGACAATAACGTCTCAAGGTTCCCTCACTAAGTCAAACAAGGAGAGACAATAATGTCTCAAGGTTCCCTCACTAAGTCAAACAAGGAGAGATAATAACATCTCAAGGTTTCTCACTAAGTCAAACAAGGAGAGACAATAACGTCTCAAGGTTCCCTCACTAAGACAAGCAAGGAGAGACAATAATGTCTCAAGGTTCCCTCACTAAGTCAAACAAGGAGAGACAATAACGTCTCAAGGTTCCCTCACTAAGTCAAACAAGGAGAGACAATAACTGTCTCAAGGTTCCCTCACTAAGACAAACAAGGAGAGACAATAACGTCTCAAGGTTCCCTCACTAAGTCAAACAAGGAGAGACAATAACGTCTCAAGGTTCCCTCACTAAGTCAAACAAGGAGAGACAGTAATGTCTCAAGGTTTCTCACTAAGTCAAACAAGGAGAGACAATAATTTCTCAAGGTTCCCTCACTAAGACAAACAAGGAGAGACAATAACGTCTCAAGGTTCCCTCACTAAGTCAAACAAGGAGAGACAATAATGTCTCAAGGTTCCCTCACTAAGTCAAACAAGGAGAGATAATAACATCTCAAGGTTTCTCACTAAGTCAAACAAGGAGAGACAATAACGTCTCAAGGTTCCCTCACTAAGACAAGCAAGGAGAGACAATAATGTCTCAAGGTTCCCTCACTAAGTCAAACAAGGAGAGACAATAACGTCTCAAGGTTCCCTCACTAAGTCAAACAAGGAGAGACAATAACTGTCTCAAGGTTCCCTCACTAAGACAAACAAGGAGAGACAATAACGTCTCAAGGTTCCCTCACTAAGTCAAACAAGGAGAGACAATAACGTCTCAAGGTTCCCTCACTAAGTCAAATAAGGAGAGACAATAACATCTCAAGGTTCCCTCACTAAGTCAAACAAGGAGAGACAATAACGTCTCAAGGTTCCCTCACTAAGTCAAATAAGGAGAGACAATAACATCTCAAGGTTCCCTCACTAAGACAAACAAGGAGAGACAATAACGTCTCAAGGTTCCCTCACTAAGTCAAGCAAGGAGAGACAATAACTGCCTCAAGGTTCCCTCACTAAGTCAAACAAGGAGAGACAATAACTGTCTCAAGGTTCCCTCACTAAGACAAACAAGGAGAGACAATAATGTCTCAAGGTTCCCTCACTAAGTCAAACAAGGAGAGACAATAACGTCTCAAGGTTCCCTCACTAAGACAAACAAGGAGAGACTATAACATCTCAAGGTTCCCTCACTAAGACAAACAAGGAGAGACAATAATTGTCTCAAGGTTCCCTAAGTCAAACAAGGAGAGACAATAACTGTCTCAAGGTTCCCTCACTAAGACAAACAAGGAGAGACAATAACGTCTCAAGGTTCCCTCACTAAGACAAACAAGGAGAGACAATAACGTCTCAAGGTTCCCTCACTAAGTCAAACAAGGAGAGACAATAACGTCTCAAGGTTCCCTCACTAAGTCAAACAAGTATTGTATTTCCTTGTACAATATAAAAATGTACTCTACACATGTTAAAATATTGTTAGGTATAAAACCCACTAACATCCATGTGTATTTCAGGTAGACTAAATCTACAGTCTACGGTCTACTTAAGACTAGATATACGTATTGAGTGGTACAGTTATAAGTATGAATTATTACAAAAAAGAGAGGGGGGAAATAGTACAAATTTAAGTGTACATGTATTAATGCGTACAGTGGTACCTCGGCACACGAACACCTCCCAACTCGAACAATTACATAAGTGTATTTTTGTAAGTGCTTTTGTAAGTGTATTTTTGGGGATCTGAAACGGACTAATCGAATTTACATTATTCCTTATGGGAACAAATTTGTTCGGTATCGGCACTTGAACAGCCTTCTGGAAGGAATTAAGTTCGTAACCCAAGGTGCCACTCTACTCTGAACTGCTTAAGTAGTTTCTAACAGGCTCTGGGATTCCAGGAAATTGTTAGTTGTTTTTGTTTAGTCTTATTGTTTATGTTGCACCAACAGTATTTCAACATGCCGGCTGTCTTCCACCAAGTCAGGTGACTTATAAAGTAAAAGGACACAAGTCCAACTAATGTGACATTTTATTGTGGCAACGTTTCGCTCTCCAGGAGCTTTATCAAGTCATAACGGCTAGATAAAGCTCCTGGAGAAGAAACGTTGCCACAAAAAAATGTCACATTAGTTGCACTTGTGCCCTTTTACTTTACATATTGTCGGTAATTCTACCAACTTTATTACAAGAAACACCTTAACCATCATTCATACAGTCTTGCCAGTCACGCACATATACAACACTTTACATCTTCCTCTAAACAGCAAATATCCCAAACTCCTCCAGCTGAGTACAGGCACTGTACTTACCACCTCATTTGGTCTTTACACATAGAAGGGGATGCTAATGTAAGGCTCTTGGGCCAGGGAGTTGGAGTTATACGTGCCTTTGGATCAAATCTAATCATGTCCCAGTTTTCCAGGCGCTGTGTGACCCTTGAGGATTTAGTGCTTTACAGTCTGAATACACTCAGGGGGTCGTGTGGGGCCTGGGGAGTGAGGGAGTGGTTTGATCCAGTTCCCTGGACCAAGAGCCCTTCAGTAGGATCATGGCAGCCTTCCTCTGTGTAGGGAGGTTCTGTGACTTGATCTGCAGGTTGACTGTGTATTCACCTATGCAAGTTTTTACAGACGAATCTCCTGCTAGTGTGGCCGTGACAGACTCTAGCTCAAGTCCCTTCAAAGCTGTCATCATGACTCACGAAATCATAATGATTTCATGAGTCATGATGACAGCCTTGAGGGGACTTGAGCTAGAGTTCGTCACGGCCACGCTAGTGTGAGATTCGTCTGTAAAAACTTGCATTTGTGGTCACAGTGGTGCCTATGCTAACCTACTTATTTATTTGTGGTTGCAGGGGTCGAGTCACAGCTCCTGGCCCCTCCTCTTCACTGGTGCTACTAGGTCACTCTCTCCCTGCTCCATAAGCTTTATCATACCTCTTCTTAAAGCTATGTATAGATCCTGCCTTGACTACATCACTCCCCAGACTATTCCATTTCCTGACAACTCTGTGACTGAAGAAATACTTCCTAACATCCCTGTGACTCATCTGAGTGTTTACCAGCACGTGCAACGTTTTAATATGTATTATAAAATTTTTGAAAATCGGAAGTGTCCAGAAATGGGGGAAAATGAGGATTTTTTTTTTTCCAGTCGCTCAAGATCCTTCATCAACACAAAATTTTGAAAAACAGGAAAATTTTTAAGATTCTCTGCTCAGGGTTTAGCTAATACAACTGTATTATTATTTTTTTTTTGGGGGGGGGAATTTGATACTGAAAAAGGCTCCTAATATTTTTGAAGAGGTTTTTCTCCCATGCAAATGTATCATCACACAATTATATATATATATAAAACCTTTTGTCACTGCCTTATTAATCTTAAGTTAGTCTTAAGTTTGACCAAAATGCTCTCCATATTAAGGGTCTTTCTGCATGAACACCCAAATGTTATTCACCTTTGTACAAACATTGTATCATGCTGAAATAAACTGTCTTTATCTTATCTTTATCTAAATATATCACTTTTCTTTAATAGGTCTGCAAAATCAGCGGCTTCCAGCAGATCAGCACGGTCAAGTGGTAGAAGTAGGAGCGGGTCGCCTGCTGTCAACAGTTCACCAGGCCGCCGCGGCTCACCCACACGCAGCAAGGCTTCCGCCTCGGACTCGGGTTCCGATTCCGATTCGTCAGACTCCAGCTCCGGTTCTGACTAGCCTTAGTGTCTTGTACATTCAGTACCACTATATGAAGACAGTATAAGTCACAGTGACTTATACTAGTGTCTTGTACACTTAGTACTGCTACCACAATACCATGGATGAAACTTTTAATTTAGTTAGGACACTTCCCTGGAGATGGGAAGTACAGTGCCTGCACTCTGAAGGAGGGGTGTTAATGTTGCAGTTTAAAAACTGTAGTGTAAAGCACCCTTCTGGCAAGACAGTGATGGAGTGAATGATGGTGAAAGTTTTTCTTTTTCGGGCCACCCTGCCTTGGTGGGAATCGGCCAGTGTGATAATAAAAAAAAAAAAAAATACTTCATACAATATTCAATCCATCTTGAATCATTCTGAAGTTACAAGAGAAGTGATAACAAGTTAGGACGAATTGAATCATTTCAAAGTTCCATTTCCAGCTTCTGAGTTCAATGTGACTTGTTCTGTCTTGATCGAATCTTATTAAATATCTCAAGTCTTGCGTCGGACACAGAGTAGTAACATTATTGTATAGATTATTTCAGAAATATTAACTAGGAAGACTGTAATTTCTGATAACAGAAAGGAGGACTGAAACTGGTGACCTGAAGTTTTGTTTCATATGAATTTTGAGAGGCGGACACGATTGACCTTAAACCAGTTGATGTGGGACAGACAGTTATATAGAGGAATTTTGTTGTTATATTTAATCTATGGAGATGCTTCATTCAGTTCACAGGGATGTACATGAGTGTATACAAGTGTAGTTGTGTGAGTGACTGGGTTAGTGAGGTCACTGTACTTGCCTGTTTTGTGGTAACAGGGGTCGAGTTGCTGTTCCTGGCCCCGCCTCTTTGCTGGTTGCTGCGAGGTTCACTCTCTTCCTGCTCCTTGAGCTTTATCGTACCTCTTTTTAAAGCTGTGTGTGGGTGAGCATAGGCTAGAGGCACTGCAGGAGGTCACTGTCATCTGAAGGAACAGTAGACTTCCTGCAGTGCAATGCAGTGATACAGGCACTGTAGGAGGTCACCATTCATCCTGCAGTGCCTTATCTCATCCTTCACCCCAGACAGTGACCTCACTAACCAAGCCACTCACATGACTATACCTGTATAAATATACTTGTCCATTCCTGCCTTCCTCTCATGTATATATATACGGGCTCCCTTTCCTTCATGTGTTTGGGTGGCTAGTTAATGGTCCAGGTTCGACCAAAACATTGTCATAAACTTTCTCCCACATGCGGCTTTTTTGTGTATACAAACCTTCTTCATAGGTGAAAATATTCAGCGAAGTTCCTTTACACCGTTACACTGTTTTTCCAATTTTAAGAAATCACGTATTGTGTGTACTGTTCAACTTAACACTTCAGTTCAGTATTTTAAAAGACTGTGTAGTATGTGTTGTTTGGGTCCCCCAACTTAGAACCTAAGTTCAGGGCCGGATTAAGGCGTGGGCTTTGTGGACTGCAGCCCAGGGTCCTCTGCCCGCTGCAGGACTTCCAGGTCCTGCAACCCAGAGGCCTCTGCCAGCTGGAGGGCCTCCACCAGCTGGAGGGCCTCCACCAGCTGGAGGACCTCCACCAGCTGGAGGACCTCCACCAGCTGGAGGACCTCCACCAGCTGGAGGGCCTCCACCAGCTGGAGGGCCTCCACCAGCTGGAGGACCTCCACCAGCTGGAGGTCCTACAGAGATGTTCCCAACAACTTACAATTTACTGATGTTTTGGATAAATTTGTTGCCAAGAAATTACACAAAGTAAATGTTTGAATTTTAATTGTGGTTAACCTTTTAAAAATAAATTTAATATTTCTTTAACCTTTTTCCTTTTGAAAATATCACTGGGGCTCTGTTACCATAACTAAGCTGGGAAACTTGCATCATGCCAAATGCTAATACAGTGGACCCCCGGCATACAATATTAATCCGTTCCTGAGAGCTCATCATATGTCGAAATTATCGTAAGGCGAATTAATTTTCCCCTTAAGAAATAATGGAAATCAAATTAATCTGTGCAAGACACCACAAAGTATGAAAAAAAAAAAATTTTTACCACATGAAATATTAATTTTAATACACACAAACTGACACTTACCTTTATTGAAGATCTGGTGATGATTGATGGGATGGGAGGAGGGGAGAGTGAGGAAGTTGTTAAAGTTTAGAAGGGGAATCCCCTTCCATTAGGACTTTAGGTAGCACGTCCTTTTCCGGGGTTACTCCCCCTTCTTCTTTTAATGCCACTAGGACCAGCTGACCATGGTGCAGCAACAGCTGACCGTGTTGCAGCAACAGCTGACCGTGGTGCAGCAACAGCTGACTTTGGTGCAGCAGCAGCTGACCATGGTGCAGCAACAGCTGATGGTGGTGTAGCAGCAGCTGACTGTGGTGCAGCAACAGCTGACCATGGTGCAGCAACAGCTGACCGTGGTGCAGCAACAGCTGACCGTGGTGCAGCAACAGCTGACCGTGGTGCAGCAACAGCTGACCATGGTGCAGCAGCAGCTGACTGTGGTGCAGCAACAGCTGACCATGGCGCAGCAGCAGCTGACCGTGGTGCAGCAACAGATGACGGTGGTGTAGCAGCAGCTGACTGTGGTGCAGCAACAGCTGACCGTGGTGCAGCAACAGCTGACCATGGTGCAGCAACAGCTGACTGTGGTGCAGCAACAGCTGACCGTGGTGCAGCAACAGCTGACTTTGGTGCAGCAGCAGCTGACCATGGTGCAGCAACAGATGACAGTGGTGTATCAGCAGCTGACTGTGGTGCAGCAACAGCTGACCATGGTGCAGCAACAGCTGACCATGGTGCAGCAACAGCTGACTGTGGTGCAGTAACAGCTGACCGTGGTGCAGCAACAGCTGGCTTTGGTGCAGCAGCAGCTGACCGTGGTGCAGCAACAGCTGACTTTGGTGCAGCAACAGCTGACCATGGTGCAGCAGCAGCTGACCATGGTGCAGCAACAGCTGACCATGGTGCAGCAACAGCTGACCGTGGTGCAGCAACAGCTGACTTTGGTGCAACAGCAGCTGACCATGGTGCAGCAACAGCTGACTGTGGTGCAGCAACAGCTGACCATGGTACAGCAGCAGCTGACCGTGGTGCAGCAACAGATGATGGTGGTGTAGCAGCAGCTGACTGTGGTGTAGCAACAGCTGACTGTGGTGCAGCAACAGCTGACTGTGGTGCAGCATCAGCTGACCGTGGTGCAGCAACAGCTGGCTTTGGTGCAGCAGCAGCTGGCTTTGGTGCAGCAGCCGCTGACTGTGGTGCAGCAACAGCTGACTTTGGTGCAGCAGCAGCTGACCGTGGTGCAGCAACAGATGACGGTGGTGTAGCAGCAGCTGACTGTGGTGCAGCAACAGATGACGGTGGTGCGGCAACAGCTGACTGTGGTGCAGCAACAGATGATGGTGGTGTAGCAGCAGCTGACTGTGGTGCAGCAACAGATGACGATGGTGCGGCAACAGCTGACCATGGTGCAGCAACAGATGACGGTGGTGTAGCAGCAGCTGACTGTGGTGCAGCAACAGATGACGATGGTGCGGCAACAGCTGACCGTGGTGCAGCAACAGATGATGGTGGTGTAGCAGCAGCTGACTGTGGTGCAGCAACAGATGACGATGGTGCGGCAACAGCTGACCGTGGTGCAGCAACAGATGACGGTGGTGTAGCAGCAGCTGACTGTGGTGCAGCAACAACTGACCATGGTGCAGCAACAGCTGACCGTGGTGCAGCAGCAGCTGACCGTGGTGCAGCAACAGCTGACCATGGTGCAGCAACAGCTGACCATGGTGCAGCAACAGCTGACTTTGGTGCAGCAGCAGCTGACCGTGGTGCAGCAACAGCTGACTTTGGTGCAGCAACAGCTGACCGTGGTGCAGCAACAGATGACAGTGGTGTAGCAGCAGCTGACTGTGGTGCAGCAACAGCTAACCGTGGTGCAGCAACAGCTGACCATGGTGCAGCAACAGCTGACCGTGGTGCAGCAACAGCTGACTGTGGTGCAGCAACAGCTGACCATGGTGCAGCAACAGCTGGCTTTGGTGCAGCAGCAGCTGACCGTGGTGCAGCAACAGCTGACTTTGGTGCAGCAACAGATGATGGTGGTGTAGCAGAAGCTGACTGTGGTGCAGCAACAGCTGACCATGGTGCAGCAAGAGCTGACCATGGTGCAGCAGCAGCTGACCATGGTGCAGCAACAGCTGACCATGGTGCAGCAACAGCTGACCATGGTGCAGCAACAGCTGACCGTGGTGCAGCAACAGCTGACTTTGGTGCAGCAGCAGCTGACCGTGGTGCAGCAATAGCTGACCGTGGTGCAGCAACAGCTGAGCATGGTGCAGCAGCAGCTGACCGTGGTGCAGCAACAGATGACGGTGGTGTAGCAGCAGCTGACTGTGGTGCAGCAACAGCTGACCGTGGTGCAGCAACAGCTGACCATGGTGCAGCAACAGCTGACTGTGGTGCAGCAACAGCTGACCATGGTGCAGCAACAGCTGACTTTGGTGCAGCAGCAGCTGGCTTTGGTGCAGCAGCAGCTGACTGTGGTGCAGCAACAGCTGACTTTGGTGCAGCAGCAGCTGACCGTGGTGCAGCAACAGATGACGGTGGTGTAGCAGCAGCTGACTGTGGTGCAGCAACAGATGACGGTGGTGTGGCAACAGCTGACCGTGGTGCAGCAACAGATGACGGTGGTGTAGCAGCAGCTGACTGTGGTGCAGCAACAACTGACCATGGTGCAGCAACAGCTGACCGTGGTGCAGCAGCAGCTGACCGTGTTGCAGCAACAGCTGACCGTGGTACAATAGTACGTATTTCCCACCCTTTTTACATGTGATCGCTTAAGAGATGGTATCTCCTGCTATCTGTTTTTCATTTATCCACACTAATAACAGTCTCTCAACATTGAGTACTTGCGATCTCTGTTTCGAAAACAAACTTGCACCTTTTGCCGTTTTGTTGGCCACAATAGTAGCGATGGTTGATTGGGGTTTGGTATACAACCTGGCCAGCTCTGAGACACGCACTCCACTTTCGTACTTAGCAATTATCTCTTTCTTCATTTCCATAGTAATTTTCACCTTTTTTACCGCACGGTTGGCACTAGAAGCTTTCTTGGGGCCCATGGTGACTTATTTTGCAGGTACAATCACTAAAAACGCTGTGATAATATGAAATGTACCAATTGTACACGTGGATGCGACCGCACTGGCTGGCTTGTAAACACTGGCACACACGGGGCAGCTGAGGACACACGTGGGACGCGTCCTGGACGAATTGCGTGTGGCGAGGCAAAATTTTTGCGTTAAAATGTATCGTATGCCGGATTTAATGTATGCTGATGCCATCGTATGCCAGGGGTCCACTGTACAGTTAACTAGATACCCAAGGAATTTCTAAGCCTTTGGAAATGCCATCTATAAAATCTATATTTTGGTCTTCTCCATGTGTGCGTGTGAAGCAGAATTCTTCCTCGGTAAGTCGTGCATGTTGTGAGAGGCGACGAAAATGCCAGAAGCAAGGGGCTAGTAACCCCCTACGGTATACATTACAGCCTCTCCTAATTTAGCGATGTACTCGTTTACTGATGCCTCAATCTTACGAAGGGCTCTTTGACGAATGTTTTTACCTAAATAATTTATGTTAGAGCTGATTTCCTCTATACAGTGGAACCTCGGTGTCTGGAATTGATTAATTGGATTTACATTGTTTCTTATGGGAAATATTGCTTCAGTTTTCGTAAAATTCAGTTTATAGTCAGACTTTTTCGAACGGATTACTCACATAAACCGAGGTTCCACCATACCAGAAATGTTATAAATGATGCAAAAGTGACAGTAAAACAATATCAAAGATGGTTGAAACAAACTCACTACCATTATGGTATGATCCTCACTTAGTGACGAATTTGTTTAACGATGTGGTCTCAGAAACAACTCCGTCGTTAAGTGAGGAGAGGCTGTACTAAATATATAAAGGGAGACTTTCGTTTTTCTTTTTCAGTTGCCCCGTCCTTAGTGGTAATGACCGGTTTACTGCGGAAAAAGAAAATGTATTTTTCTCTGGTTAGCACTGTGTCTTATGAACACAACTGTTTTGTATAATGGTCCCACTGGAAAGTGTGATGTGTCACTGTGAATACAAAAAGGACACCACTGGAAAAATAAATTTGTGAGTGTTGTAGTGTACTGCACTATGTACAGTGTATCTGAGTGTTGTAGTGTACTGCACTATGTACAGTGTATCTGAGTGTTGTAGTGTACTGCACTATGTACAGTGTATCTGAATGTTGTAGTGTACTGCACTATGTACAGTGTATCTGAGTGTTGTAGTATACTGCACTATGTACAGTGTATCTGAGTGTTGTAGTGTACTGCACTATGTACAGTGTATCTGAGTGTTGTAGTGTACTGCACTATGTACAGTGTATCTGAGTGTTGTAGTGTACTGCACTGTGTACAGTGTATCTGAGTGTTGTAGTGTACTGCACTGTGTACAGTGTATCTGAGTGTTGTAGTGTACTGCACTGTGTACAGTGTATCTGAGTGTTGTAGTGTACTGCACTGTGTACAGTGTATCTGAGTGTTGTAGTGTACTGCACTGTGTACAGTGTATCTGAGTGTTGTAGTGTACTGCACTGTGTACAGTGTATCTGAGTGTTGTAGTGTACTGCACTGTGTACAGTGTATCTGAGTGTTGTAGTGTACTGCACTGTGTACAGTGTATCTGAGTGTTGTAGTGTACTACACTACAGTGTAGACCTTAGAAGCATTCTAGCTAATATCCCAGACCCTAGAAGCATTCTAGCTAATATCCCAGACTCTAGAAGCATTCTAGCTAATATCCCAGACTCTAGAAGCATTCTAGCTAATATCCCAGACCCTAGAAGCATTCTAGCTAATATCCCAGACTCTAGAAGCATTCTAGCTAATATCCCAGACCCTAGAAGCATTCTAGCTAATATCCCAGACTCTAGAAGCATTCTAGCTAATATCCCAGACCCTAGAAGCATTCTAGCTAATATCCCAGACCCTAGAAGCATTCTAGCTAATATCCCAGACCCTAGAAGCATTCTAGCTAATATCCCAGACCCTAGAAGCATTCTAGCTAATATCCCAGACCCTAGAAGCATTCTAGCTAATATCCCAGACCCTAGAAGCATTCTAGCTAATATCCCAGACCCTAGAAGCATTCTAGCTAATATCCCAGACCCTAGAAGCATTCTAGAGGCAGTCAATTACAATTACAGGTGTAGTGTACCTGTGATGACCAAAATTAGAGCAAGCAAAAGACAAGAGGATTTATAACTTGTATTTCCTTCACCAAATAAGCAACAAGATCAGATGAAACACCGTGAGAGACCAGCAGCCCAGACAAGTCTGCCAAACCTGGTGTCACAAGAACCACATCGCTTCACAGCTCTGGCGGGGGCCGAGTCACAACTCCTGGCCCCGCTTCTTCACTGGTGGCTACTAGGTCCACTCTCTCCCTGCTCCATGAATTTTATCATACCTCTTTTTAAAGCTATGTATGGATCCTGCTTCCACTACATCACTCTCCAAATTGTGTCACTTTCCAAACAACTCTGTGATTAGCCAATGAACCGAGGTACTGATATAACGACAGGGCCTCTGTACATTGTTAAATCCTTAGCACCTGGCTCACTGATTGGGAGGCAGCCTATATGAGAGTGTGACATACACTGAATATAGTGTAATATACTCTTAGCATACCACATAATTCCTATCACAAGCCCTAGAAGCATTCTGCAAGCATTCTAGTTCACATCCCAGGTCCTAGAAGCATTCTAGTATATCCTGGCCCTATAAGCATTCTGAAAACATTCTAATATATATCACAGGCTTTAGAAGCATTCTAAAATCATTATAGTATAAATCTCAGATCCCTACAGGCATCTCGGTATTTATAAAGATCTCCGAGGTCCCTAAAGGCACCCCAGTAATTATAATAATCCTTACTAGTCAGAAACCCCTTTGCTGATAGCAAAATGCTGAAATATAGTGCATATTTCCTGGTATATAAGGTGCTGCCAGTCTACAGGGCCCAGCAGGCTTGTTAACTTCAAAGGATATAACAATGGATAGCTCTCTCACAGGCTGACAGAATTAATTAGGTTAAGATAAGGTGACAAGAAGATCCCCTGTCAGTCAGGATTAATCAGATTTACCTGTGTCGTCACACTTGGTGTGATAATGCTGGCGTTGAACACTAGTGCGTTGAATACTGGTGTGTTGAACACTAGTGTGTCTTGTTCAACCACACCCTTGTGCTCTACTGTTAGGATTGTGTTCTGCTAGGACTGTGTTCTACAGAAATGTGTTCTACTAGGACTGTGTTCTACTACTAGGATTGTGTTCTTTAAGGATTATGTTCTAACAGGACTGTGTTCTACAAGGATTGTGTTCTACATGACTGTTCTACAAGGACTGTGTTCTACAAGGATTGTGTTCTACATGACTGTTCTACAAGGACTGTGTTCTACAAGGATTGTGTTCTACAGGACTGTGTTCTACAGGGCTGTGTTCTAGGATTATGTTCTACTAGGACTGTTCTACTAGGACTGTGTTCTACAAGGATTGTGTTCTACTAGGACTGTGTTCTACAAGGATTGTGTTCTACTAGGACTGTGTTCTACTACTAGGATTGTGTTCTCTAAGGATTATGTTCTAACAGGACTGTGTTCTACAAGGATTGTGTTCTACAGGACTGTGTTCTACAAGGACTGTGTTCTACAAGGATTGTGTTCTACATGACTGTGTTCTACAAGGACTGTGTTCTACTACTAGGATTGTGTTCTCTAAGGATTATGTTCTAACAGGACTGTGTTCTACAAGGATTGTGTTCTACATGACTGTTCTACAAGGACTGTGTTCTACAAGGATTGTGTTCTACAGGACTGTGTTCTATAAGGACTGTGTTCTACAAGGACTGTGTTCTACAGGGCTGTGTTCTAGGATTATGTTCTACTAGGACTGTGTTCTACAAGGACTGTGTTCTACAAGGACTGTGTTCTACAAAGACTGTGTTCTACAGGACTGTGTTCTACTAGGATTATGTTCTACAGGACTGTGTTCTACTAGGACTGTGTTCTACAGGACTGTGTTCTCCGAGGATTATGTTCTACAGGACTGTGTTCTACAAGGATTGTGTTCTACAGGACTGTGTTCTACAAGGACTGTGTTCTACAAGGATTGTGTTCTACAGGACTGTTTTACAAGAACAGTGTTGAACAAGAACAGTTACTGGACTAAACAAGAACAGTTACTGGACTAAACAAGAACAGTTACTGGACTAAACAAAAACAGTGTTGAACAAGAACAGTTACTGGACTGAACAAGAACAGTTACTGGACTAAACAAGAACAGTGTTGAACAAGAACAGTTACTGGACTGAACAAGAACAGTTACTGGACTAAACAAGAACAGTGTTGAACAAGAACAGTTACTGGACTAAACAAGAACAGTTACTGGACTAAACAAGAACAGTTACTGGACTAAACAAGAACAGTGTTGAACAAGAACAGTTACTGGACTAAACAAGAACAGTTACTGGACTAAACAAGAACAGTTACTGGACTAAACAACAACAGTTACTGGACTAAACAAGAACAGTTACTGGACTAAACAAGAACAGTTACTGGACTAAACAACAGTTACTGGACTAAAGAACAGTTACTGGACTAAACAACAGTTACTGGACTAAACAACAACAGTTACTGGACTAAACAACAACAGTTACTGGACTTAACAAGAACAGTTACTGGACTAAACAACAACAGTTACTGGACTAAACAACAACAGTTACTGGACTAAACAAGAACAGTTACTGGACTAAACAACAACAGTTACTGGACTAAACAAGAACAGTTTACTGGACTAAACAAGAACAGTTATGGACTAAACAAGAACAGTTACTGGACTAAACAAGAACAGTTACTGGACTAAACAACAACAGTTACTGGACTAAACAAGAACAGTTACTGGACTTAACAAGAACAGTTACTGGACTAAACAACAACAGTTACTGGACTAAACAACAACAGTTACTGGACTTAACAAGAACAGTTACTGGACTTAACAAGAACAGTTACTGGACTAAACAACAACAGTTACTGGACTAAACAAGAACAGTTACTGGACTTAACAAGAACAGTTACTGGACTTAACAAGAACAGTTACTGGACTAAACAACAACAGTTACTGGACTAAACAAGAACAGTTACTGGACTAAACAAGAACAGTGTTGAACAAGAACAGTTACTGGACTGAACAAGAACAGTTACTGGACTAAACAAGAACAGTGTTGAACAAGAACAGTTACTGGACTGAACAAGAACAGTTACTGGACTAAACAAGAACAGTGTTGAACAAGAACAGTTACTGGACTAAACAAGAACAGTTACTGGACTAAACAAGAACAGTTACTGGACTAAACAAGAACAGTGTTGAACAAGAACAGTTACTGGACTAAACAAGAACAGTTACTGGACTAAACAAGAACAGTTACTGGACTAAACAACAACAGTTACTGGACTAAACAAGAACAGTTACTGAACTAAAGAACAGTTACTGGACTAAACAAGAACAGTTACTGGACTAAACAAGAACAGTTACTGGACTAAACAAGAACAGTTACTGGACTAAACAACAACAGTTACTGGACTAAACAACAACAGTTACTGGACTAAACAAGAACAGTTACTGGACTTAACAAGAACAGTTACTGGACTAAACAACAACAGTTACTGGACTAAACAACAACAGTTACTGGACTAAACAAGAACAGTTACTGGACTAAACAACAACAGTTACTGGACTAAACAAGAACAGTTACTGGACTAAACAAGAACAGTTACTGGACTAAACAAGAACAGTTACTGGACTAAACAAGAACAGTTACTGGACTAAACAACAACAGTTACTGGACTAAACAAGAACAGTTACTGGACTTAACAAGAACAGTTACTGGACTAAAGAACAGTTACTGGACTAAACAACAACAGTTACTGGACTAAACAAGAACAGTTACTGGACTTAACAAGAACAGTTACTGGACTTAACAAGAACAGTTACTGGACTAAACAAGAACAGTTACTGGACTAAACAAGAACAGTTACTGGACTTAACAAGAACAGTTACTGGACTAAACAAAAAACAGTTACTGGACTAAACAAGAACAGTTACTGGACTTAACAAGAACAGTTTACTGGACTAAACAAGAACAGTTACTGGACTAAACAAGAACAGTTACTGGACTAAACAAGAACAGTTACTGGACTAAACAAGAACAGTTACTGGACTGAACAAGAACAGTTACTGGACTTAACAAGAACAGTTACTGGACTTAACAAGAACAGTTACTGGACTAAACAACAGTTACTGGACTAAACAAGAACAGTTACTGGACTTAACAAGAACAGTTACTGGACTAAACAAGAACAGTTACTGGACTAAACAAGAACAGTTACTGGACTAAACAAGAACAGTTACTGGACTAAACAAGAACAGTTACTGGACTGAACAAGAACAGTTACTGGACTGAACAAGAACAGTTACAAGATTTAAGATGAAGTTATATTGTGGTGGGTTGGTAGGTATGGTATGGTCATGGGCTCTACTAATGGGGCATCTCCTACCTGCTTACTCTATACCCATGGGCATCACGACCGGGTATCCCACAGGAGAGACACTACCAGCTTACCAGTCAACCACAACTACCACAATTGCTGGTAAGATTATGTAAATTATATGTGTACTAGTGCTGATCTTTGAGGTACCCCACTCAATACCCCTTCCCTAGTTACTGGTATAAAGGCGTGTGTACTCATTTGTGGTTGTAGGAGTCGTATCACAGCTCCTGGCACTATAGCAGGCCTTCTGGCCCATACAAGGCAGGTCCTTCTCTAAATCAACCATTTAAACCTGAAGTATACCTGTAGAGAGTTCCGGGGGGTCAACGCCCCCACTACGGGTCCTGACCCGTCCGGGGCCCAAGACGTCAACTGCCTCCCAGCATACATAAGGGGGATTACCAATAGACCCCTGGCTGTCTTCAAGCAGGCACTGAACAGGCACCTAAAGTCAGTAGCTGACCAACCGGGCTGTGGTTCGTACATCAGTTTGCGTGCAGCCAGCAGTGGCAGCCTGGTTGATCAGACCCTGATCCACCACAAGGCCTGGTCTCAGAGCAGCGGGGGCATTGACCTCCGAAACCCTCTCCAGGTATACTCCAGGGTATTCTGTAATATAGATGGCAAGTGAGGCTTGAGTGACACATGACCTGAAGATTGACATGTTGACATGAGAACGGGTAAACAACGTGTTCGTGGGACTCCTGTGTTGTTAGGTGCTACTGGGCCTTGTTAAGTAAGATAAGATAAGATAAGATTTCGTTGGGATTTTTAACCCCGGAGGGTTAGCCACCCAGGATAACCCAAGAAAGTCAGTGCGTCATCGAGGACTGTCTAACTTATTTCCATTGTGGTCCTTAATCTTGTCCCCCAGGATGCCACCCACACCAGTCGACTAACACCCAGGATGCCACCCACACCAGTCGACTAACACCCAGGATGCCACCCACACCAGTCGACTAACACCCAGGTACCTATTTGCTGCTAGGTAAACAGGACAACAGGTGTAAGGATACGTGTCGGAATTTCCACCCGCCGGGAATCGAACCCGAGCCCTCCGTGTGTGAAGCGGGAGCTTTAGCCACCAGGCCACCGGGCCACCAGACCATGATGATGATGATGATGATGATGATGACATTTTGCAGTTTGTAGTATTATGTTTTGTGGTGCTTATTGAGGCTTCCAGACATTGTTGACGTCTGAGATCTTGTTCTGTCAGGCCGAGCTGCGCCTCGTCTTAATTCATCTGATGTCCCGAGGAGTCCCTGTGGAGGACACAGGAGTTTTGTGATAACCAGGGGTCTTGAAGACAGCCAGGGGTCTTGAAGACAGCCAGGGGTCTTGAAGACAACCAGGGGTCTTGAAGACAACCAGGGGTCTTGAAGACAGCCAGGGGTCTTGAAGACAACCAGGGGTCTTGAAGACAGCCAGGGGTCTTGAAGACAACCAGGGGTCTTGAAGACAACCAGGGGTCTCGAAGACAGCCAGGGGTCTCGAAGACAGCCAAAGGTATATTGGCAATCCCCCTTGTGTATGCTGGGAGGCAGTTGAACAGTCTTGGGCCCCTGACACTGTGTTGTCTCTTAGTGTACTCGTGACTCCCCCGCTTTTCATTGAGGGGACCAGGAGCTGCTACTTATCATAAGAGTCTTTTGTGAGGTACTCTATCCAAGGCTTTACTGAATTCCAAATCAACAACGTTATATTCCGCCTTTACTGAAGAGAGTTAACTCTGTCTACTTTATTGTCTACGCACCGACATTTCAGAGTACACAGAGTGCATAGAGGACGACTATGGGACGGTACTCAAGGCTGGTAGTACAGAGAGGTGCAAGAAGGTGGTTCAAATCGACCCTTCCGGGTGTCACCTAGACGACCCTATAACCACCTTCATCCTGGTCGACACCGACGCTGACCCAGGCTCTGTCACCCACCAGCCTCACCAGGTATGTCTAGCCCAGCTCTTTCCACTGTCTACAAGCACGTCCTAGACGCTGGTGACACTCGTTTTAGACATTTGATGAAGCTATCTTTAAGATTCTGACTGAGAGACGTCCCTTCTGGACACCTTGTGAGTACCATCAGTTACATTATGATTGTGGTGTCCCAATTGTAATTATTATTTTGTGCGCTGTGCATGTGTGTGTGTGCGTACTCGCCTATTTGTGGTTGAAGGGGTCGATTCACAGCTCCTGGCCCCACCTCTTCGCTAGTCACTACTAGGTCCTCTCTCTCCCTGCTCCAGGAACCTTGTATGTGTGTGTATGTATAACAGAGAGTATTTCCGTCAGGTCGTAAGTGACAGCGAAGCAGAGTTGTACCTACAAGAGACGCAAGCTGGGTCGTACGACATCTACTGCTACGACGGACGTAACTATACTACCAACACACAATATCGCGTCAACGTTGGATGTGAGCAAGTATTATTATTATTATTATTATTATTATTATTATTATTAAGGAGGGTGGGGAGAGAGCCTTCTGCTTGACTATTCTGGCCTCATTCAACTAGATAATACAGGATAGTTCTTAATCTAGATAGTAGTAGTTAGTTCTACTCAAAAGATAGTCTTGGTGTGGACTACCAAGTACTCAGCCATCTATTACTCCCATATAATATCACGTACTACTATGTGCTATCATGACCTAGTATGTAATACCATGTACTGTCATGTACCACAATGTACTATCATGCACCACAGTGTACTATCATGCACCACAATGTACTATCATGATCCTGGTTTATACGATATACAAACCTGGGTCATCGCTAGAGGCAAAATCCTCACAAAAATTATTTCTGGACGGAGTATCGAGCCTCCACGGGCCGTACTGAGCCCAGGAGCTTATAAAGATCCTCCAGTCCTCCAAACCCAGGCTGGTTTAGCGCCTCCAGAAGGCTGAAATACTCGAAATAAATGAATGTCTAGCGTCCTTTTCAGACGAGCCAGAGGACTTGAGGGACTGGAGATGCGCCTCTTTTAACTGGGAGACACTGGTGTGTAGGTGGCTGGTGACTGATAACCCTGTCAAGACTGTCACCTTCCCCTACCTGGCTACCTCTGCTACACCCAGGTGAGGTATACTGCCACCTGTATCACCTGTTCTGTCTCTGCTACACCCAGGTGACTGATAACCCTGTCAAGACTGTCACCTTCCCCTACCTAGCTACCTCTGCTTCACTCAGGTGACTAATAACCCTGTCAAGACTGTCACCTTCCCCTACCTGGCTACTTCTGCTGCACTCAGGTGACTAATAACCCTGTCAAGACTGTCACCTTCCCCTACCTGGCTACTTCTGCTGCACTCAGGTGACTAATAACCCTGTCAAGACTGTCACCTTCCCCTACCTAGCTACCTCTGCTTCACTCAGGTGACTAATAACCCTGTCAAAACTGTCACCTTCCCCTACCTAGCTACGTCTGCTACACCCAGGTGACTAATAACCCTGTCAAAACCGTCACCTTCCCCTACCTAGCTACCTCTGCTACACCCAGGTGACTAATAACCCTGTCAAAACTGTCACCTTCCCCTACCTAGCTACCTCTGCTACACCCAGGTGACTAATAACCCTGTCAAAACTGTCACCTTCCCCTACCTAGCTACCTCTGCTACACCCAGGTGACTAATAACCCTGTCAAAACTGTCACCTTCCCCTACCTAGCTACCTCTGCTACACCCAGGTGACTAATAACCCTGTCAAAAACTGTCACCTTCCCTACCTAGCTACCTCTGCTACACCCAGGTGACTAATAACCCTGTCAAAACTGTCACCTTCCCCTACCTAGCTACGTCTGCTACACCCAGGTGACTAATAACTCTGTCAAAACTGTCACCTTCCCCTACCTAGCTACCTCTGCTACACCCAGGTGAAGTACACTGCCAGCTGTGTCACTTGTACACCAGTCTATAACAGTACACATACTGTACATTAGTATACACATACTCCCCCATTGAATAATGGGGGAGTATGTGTACATTTATGTTGGCTTTTTAATGGGTTTATGGAGGGAAGGGAGAGAGGTAAACCCGTAGGGGGTTGGGCAATACCCTGGGTAATGGGTGGAAGTCATGGGTGATTAAGAAAATGGGGTAAATAGGTACCTGCCTCATTAATTCTTAGATCATGGCCCCCATTAATATTCTCATTGCACTAAGGTACTGTATTGTTCCTCAGAGAGTGTCATTGTGAGGTACCTACGTGCCCTGAGGTACCTACGTACGTTGATGGGGCTCCTAAATACACTGATGGGGTTCCTATGTACACTGAGGCACCTATGTACCTTAATGAGGCTGCTACGTACTCTAATGGGGTTCCTACGTACACCGATGGGACTCCTATTTATCCTAAGGCACCTACTTACCCTGATGATATATATACGTACCCTGAGGCATCTACGTATCCTGCTGCACCTGCGTACCCTGAGACATCTACGTATCCTGATGCACCTGCGTACCCTAATGGGGCACCTACCTGCTTCCTCACCTGCTGCACCTGGACGCAGGATTCGGGATACGAACCTACCTATCCTAACCTATCAATGGTGTTCCTACGTAGGAACGCCCTGGTACCTAATGACCTCACCTTTTATCATCATGCTGACTACCTGGCAATAGGTGAGTTCTAGTACTATTTTCCCTGATAATTAGGAGGCTTCGGGAAGCTAGGTGACTTACATCCCACCCATCTTCGAAAGCAGGCTCGTACTTCCCATAAGATTTCAGTAGTGGTACAATCTTTACGATTTCTGAATTTTCAAATTGTGCTTAAATCACTTAATTGCGGGGTTAACCTACCGGTGTCCCGTGTGTACCTGCAGGTTACCTGGACCAGCTGAAAAAGTGAGCTTAGGGTGGTAATGGACAAAATGGTTTTGAAGGTGACTGGGGAAAAACCCCCACTCTCGGAAGTTCCCTCCCAGCTATCATCTCCTTGAGTACAAAGGGGCAGATAGGATACCGGGACCTGGTTAGTGTGTTTTTAAAATACTTTCCCACTTTTATTAAGACTATACACCGGGGTTTATTAAGATATACCCAGGGTTATTAAGACTATTTACCAGGGTCTTTAAAGACTCCCTACCCCAGGGATTTAAAGACTACTAACCCCCAGGGTTTTTAAAGATACTACCCGGGGTTTTTAAAGACTATCACCTGGGTTTTTAAAGACTACTACACCGGGTTATTAAAAACTATCACCTGGGTCATTAAGACTACTACCCCAGGGTTTTTAAGACTACTACCCAGGGTTATTAAGACTACTACACCAGGGTCATTAGACTATAACCAGGGTTATTAAGATACACCCCAGGGTTATTAAATTTATTAACCGGGTTATTAAGCTACTAAAACCGGGTTATTAAGATACTACACCACTGTTTTAAAAGACTACTACCCCGGGGTTTTTAAGACTACTACACCAGGGTTTTTAAAGGACTCTACCCCGGGTTTTTAAGCTACACACCAGGGTTTTAAGCTACTCCCCGGGGTTTTTTAAAGACTACTACCCCGGGGTTTTAAGACTACTACACCAGGGTTTTTAAACTACTACACCAGGGTTATTAAGACTACTAACCAGGGTTATTAAACTACTACACCAGGGTTTTTAAAGACTCTAACCAGGGTTATAAGATACTACACCGGGGTTATTAAGACTACTACCCCGGGGGTTTTATTAAGACTACTACACCTGGGTTATTAAGACTACTACACCAGGGTCTTAAGATACTACCCCAGGGTTATTAAGACTACTACCCCAGGGTTTTTTAAATACTACACCAGGTTAAAAAGACTACTACCCCCGGGTTTATTAAGAACTCACCAGGGTTATTAAGCTCTCCCCCGGGTAAAAAAGAACTACCCAGGGTTTTAAAGAAACTACACCAGGGTTATTAAGATACTACCCTGGGTTTTTAAAGACTACTAAAAACCTGGGTTATTAAGATACTACCCCGGGTTTTATTAAACTACTACACCGGGGTTTTAAGACTACTCACCAGGTTTTTAAAGACTACTAACCGGGGTTATAAGGTTATAACAGGGTTATAAGATGGGCCCCTACACAGAGACAGCAAGGGAAAATGGTGAGCTATCGTCCCAAAGACTCAGTTTTAGAAAGGGCCCCCCCAACCAGAGAGAGTCAAAGATAAAAATGAATTTTTTATGAGAGAGCCAAAAAAATTTGTTTAAAACACAAGCCTACCGATGTTATCCTACGCCAAATGACTTCGAACAGGCGATAAATGCATGCCCATGCACTCTGCCCCAGGGCCAACTCATGGAATCTTGTTCATCAAGGAACGCAAAAGCCCTATCACGGCTTTTCCTCCTATGGAGAGGGAGCATGGAAGGGGGTCGTCCCCCCAGTTACTAAAAACAACAGACTACCCCCTCCACAAAAGGGGGCATAAAGCAACAGCAAAAAACTACAGACCAATTGCACTAACATCCCATATCATAAAAAAACTTTTAAAGGGTCCTAGAACAAGATCACCACCCCTCTAGAAAACCCCCAGTTCACAACCAGGGCAACAGGGGGTTTGAAACAGGTCGTCCTTTCTTCTCAAATACTGGGTCCTACACAAACCTAAATGCATAAAGACAAAAAGAAGCGTGTAAAATACAGCTTTGAAAAGCCTTGACAAGGTACCATGGGTATAGCGCACAAATGCGCGCTAAAGGAATAACGGAAAAGTGGTCGATGGGATCTATAATTTCCTCACTAACAGAACAAGAGAGTGCGTCAACAGGTAAAAATCCAGGCACTCGGTGAAAGCTTGTTTTCCCCAAGGCCAGTACTCCTCCCATCTTGTTCCTCATCCTCATACCCACAAGACAAGGGGTCAGCCACAGCACCGTGTTTCCTTTGCAGAGACACCCCAAAACTGCATGCATGTCTTCCCTTTCAGACACTGCAAGGCTCCAGGGGGCATTTAAACCAATCTTTTATGGGGCTGAGAAAACAAAATAAGTTCAACATGAAAATTTCAATTACTCAGAATGGTAAACAGAGGAAATTAAATCTTCATCAGAGTACAAAAAAAATTCTGGCCACAAAATAGAGCGAAACCCAACGTCAAAGACCGGGGTGTTTGTCGGGGGATCCACCTTCAAGGCCATAACATTGTATCAATCCATTTGCAGAAAAATGACAGGAGGATAATAGAACCTTCAAACTAGGGGGGCCAAGCCGATACACTTTCGGTCACTTGTTCTTCTAGGCGGAAAATTGTGCACTCTAAAAGCACCTTTCAAGGCAGGTGAAATTGCCGACCTAGAAAAAGTACAGAGAACTTCACGGCGCGCAAACGGAGATAAAAAAACCCCAATTACTGGGGGCGCTTTGGGGTTTTTTAAAAATGTATTCCCCGGGAACGCGGAGGGGAAAATACATGATTTTTACACCGGAAAATCCTAGAGGGCTAGTACCGAACTTTCACCGAAAATCACTCACTACGAAAGCAAAAAACTTGGCAGACGATGCACCATCCCCCCAAAAAAAAAAACAGGGGGGGGCACTAGACGTTAAAGCCATACAATAAGTGTCAGGGGGCCGAGATGTTCAAATGCCCCCAGCACACATAAGGGGATTACCAAAAACCCCTGGGTCTTCAAGCTGGCACTGGAAAAGCCCCTAAAGGCAGTTCCTGTCAGCCGGGCTGTGGCTCGTACGTTGGTTTGCGTGCAGCCAGCACAACAGCCTGGTTGATCAGGGGGCGATCCACCAGGAGGCCTGGTCACAGACCGGCCGCGGGGCGTTGACCCCCGAAACTCTCTCCAGGTAAACTCTCCAGGTAAACTACTACACCAGGGTTATTAAGACTACTACACCAGGGTTATTAAGACTACTACACCAGGGTCATTAAGACTACTACACCAGGTTATTAAGACTATACACCAGGGTTATTTAAGACTAACTACACCTGGGTTATTAAGACTATACACCAGGGTTATTAAGACTACTACACAGGGTTATTAAGACTATACACCAGGGTTATTAAGATACTACACCGGGGTTATTAAGGACTACTACACCAGGTTATTAAGACTACTACACCCAGGGTTATTAAGACTACTACACCAGGGTTATTAAGATACAACACCAGGGTTATAAGACTACAAACACCAGGGTTATTAAGACTACTACACCAGGGTTATTAAGACTACTACACCAGGGTTATTAAGACTACTACACCAGGGTTATTAAGACTACTACACCAGGGTTTTTAAAGACTACTACACCAGGGTTATTAAGACTCTACCCCCAGGGTTATTAAGACTACTACACCAGGGTTATTAAGACTACTACACCGGGGTTTTATTAAGACTATTTACACCAGGGTTTTTAAGACTACTACACCAGGTTAATTAAGACTACACACACCAGGTTATTAAGACTACTACACCAGGTTATTAAGACACTACACCGGGGTTTATTAAGACAAACTACACCGGGGTTATTAAGACTACTACACCGGGGTTATTAAGACTACTACACCTGGGTTTTAAGACTACACACCAGGGTTATTAAGACTACTACACCAGGGTATTATAAGACTACTACACCAGGGTTATTAAAACTACTACACCAGGGTTATTAAGGACTACTACACCAGGGTTATTAAGACGACTACACCAGGGTTTTTAAGACTACTACACCAGGGTTATTAAGACTAACTACACCGGGGTTTAAATTAAAGATACTACACCAGGTTATTAAGACTACTACCCCAGGGTTATTAAGACTACTACACCAGGGTTATTAAGACTGCTACACCAGGGTTATTAAGACTACTACACCAGGGTTATTAAGACTACTACACCAGGGTTATTAAGACTACTACACCAGGGTTATTAAGACTACTACACCAGGGTTATTAAGACTACTACACCTGGGTTATTAAGACTACTACACCAGGGTTATTAAGACTACTACACCAGGGTTATTAAGACTACTACACCAGGGTTATTAAGACTACTACAGGGTTATTAAGACTACTACACCAGGGTTATTAAGGATTTACTACACCAGGGTTATTAAACTACTACACCACTGTTATTAAGACTACTACACCAGGGTTTATTAAGACTCTACACCAGGGTTATAAAGGACTACTACACCAGGGTTATTAAGAATACTACACCAGGTTATTAAGACTACTACCCCAGGTTATTAAGATACTACACCAGGGTTATTAAGACTACTACACCACTGTTATTAAGACTACTACACCAGGGTTATTAAGACTACTACACGAGGGTTATAAAGACTACTACACCAGGGTTATTAAGACTACTACACCAGGGTTATTAAGACTACTACACCAGGGTTATTAAGACTACTACACCAGGGTTATTAAGACTACTACACCACTGTTATTAAGACTACTACACCAGGGTTATTAAGACTACTACACCAGGGTTATAAAGACTACTACACCAGGGTTATTAAGACTACTACACCAGGGTTATTAAGACTACTACACCAGGGTTATTAAGACTCCTACACCAGGGTTATTAAGACTACTACCCAAGGGTCTTTTAAGACTACTACACCTGGGTTATTAAGATTTACTACACCAGGGTTATTAAGACTACACACCAGGGTTATTAAGACTACTACACCAGGGTTATTAAGACTACTACACCAGGGTTATTAAGACTGCTACATCTGGGTTATTAAGACTACTACACCAGGGTTATTAAGACTACTACACCAGGGTTATTAAACTACTACACCAGGGTTTTTAAGACTACTACACCAGGGTTATAAAGACTACTACACCCAGGGTTATTAAGACTACTACACCAGGGTTATTAAGACTGCTACACCTGGGTTATTAAGACTACTACACCAGGGTTATTAAGACTACTACACCAGGGTTATTAAGACTACTACACCAAGGTTATTAAGACTACTACACCAGGGTTATTAAGACTACTACACCAGGGTTATTACGACTACTGCACCAGGGTTATATAAACTACAACACCTGGGTTATTAAGACTACTAACACCGGGTTATTAAAGACTACTACACCAGGGTTATTAAGACTACTACACCAGGGTTATTAAGACTACTACACCGGGGTTTTAGACTACTACACCAGGGTTATTAAGACTACTACACCTGGTTATTAAGACTACTACACCTGGTTTATTAAGACTACTACACCTGGGTTATAAGACACTACACCAGGCTTATTAAGACTACTACACCAGGGTTATTAAGACTACTACACCTGGGTTATTAAGACTACTACACCAGGGTTATTAAGACTACTACACCGGGGTTTATTAAGCTACTACACCAGGGTTATTAAGATTTAACTACACCTGGGTTTTTAAAGACTACTACACCTGGGTTATTAAGACTACTACACCTGGGTATTAAGACTACAAACACCAGGTTATTAAGACTACTACACCAGGGTTATTAAGACTACTACACCTGGGTTATTAAGACTACTACACCAGGGTTATTAAGACTACTACACCAGGGTTATTAAGACTACTACACCTGGGTTATTAAGACTACTACACCAGGGTTATTAAGACTACTACACCAGGGTTATTAAGACTACTACACCTGGGTTATTAAGACTACTACACCGGGGTTATTAAACTACTACCCAGGGCCCATTAAGACTACACACCAGGTTATTAAGACTACTACACCTGGGTTATTAAGACTACTGCCCCAGGGTTTTTAAAGACAAACCTACACCAGGGTTTATTAAGAACTCTACACCGGGTTATTAAGATACTACACCAGGGTTATTAGACACTACACCAGGGTTATTAAGACTACTACACCTGGGTTATTAAGACTACTACACCTGGGTTATTAAGACTACTACACCAGGCTTATTAAGACTACTACACCAGGGTTATTAAGACTACTACACCAGGCTTATTAAGACTACTACACCAGGGTTATTAAGACTACTACACCAGGCTTATTAAGACTACTACACCAGGGTTGGTTAATGGGGTTTCAATTCTATCTACTACGCGAGTCAAGAATAATACCTGAAATACTGATTAATGTAAACTACCAGTGTATATACACTGAGATATATACCTCTCAGTGTATATACACTGAGATATATACCTCTCAGTGTATATACACTGAGATATACACCTCTCAGTGTATATACACTGAGATATACACCTCTCAGTGTATATACACTGAGATATACACCTCTCAGTGTATATACACTGAGATTATACCTCTCAGTTGTATATGCACTGAGATAACACCTCTCAGTGTATATGCACTGAGATATACACCTCTCAGTGTATATACTGAGATATACACCTCTCAGTGTATATACACTGAGATATACACCTCTCAGTGTATATACACTGAGATATACACCTCTCAGTGTATATACTGAGATATACACCTCTCATTTGAAATTACTGTAATATACACCTCTCAGTGTATATACACTGCGATATACACCTCCTCAGTGTATGTACACTGAGATATACACCTCTCAGTGTATATACACTGAGAAATAACACCTCTCAGCGTATATACACTGGATATACACCTCTCAGTGTATATACACTGAGATGTACACCTCTCAGAGTATATACACTGAGATATACACCTTTCAGAGTATATACACTGAGATATACACCTCTCAGTGTATATACACTGAGATATACAGGTCTCAGTGTTTATACACTGAGATATACAGGTCTCAGTGTATATACAGTGAGATATACAGGTCTCAGAGTATATACACTGAGATATACGGGTCTCAGAGTATATACACTGAGATATACAGGTCTCAGAGTATATACACTGAGATATACAGGTCTCAGAGTATATACTCTGAGATATACAGGTCTCAGTGTATATACACTGAGATATACAGGTCTCAGTGTATATACACTGAGATATACAGGTCTCAGTGTATATACACTGAGATATACAGATCTCAAAGTATATACAGTGAGATATACAGGTCTCAGAGTGTATACAGTGAGATATACAGGTCTCAGAGTATATACAGTGAGATATACAGGTCTCAGAGTATGTACAGTGAGATATACAGGTCTCAGTGTATATACACTGAGATATACAGATCTCAAAGTATATACAGTGAGATATACAGGTCTCAGAGTATATACACTGAGATATACAGGTCTCAGAGTATATACAGTGAGATATACAGGTCTCATAGTATGTACAGTGAGATATACAGGTCTAAGTGTATATACTTGCCACAGGGGGCCACGGGACAGTGCCAGGGTCCCAAGTGTGAGACAGTGGTCCAGCTGGACCACTGGTGGACCCAGTATACACTCAGGGTTCGTCTACGATCAGGCGCGGCCACCATGACCCTGATGGACGATGGTTGGTGGTCTGATTGGTCGCCTCTGAGTGTTTTAACACCAACCTCATGTGAGTAACACTTCCTCCCCTCTCTTCTGATGGGTTCTGGTGGGTTCTCGTTGGCTCTGGTGGGTTCTGATGGGTTCTGGTGGGTTCTCGTTGGCTCTGGCGGGCTCTGGTGGGTTCTGATGGGTTCTGGTGGGTTCTCGTTGGCTCTGGTGGGCTCTGGTGGGTTCTGATGGGTTCTGGTGGGTTCTCGTTGGCTCTGGTGGCTATGGTGAGTTCTGATGGGTTCTGGTGGGTTCTCGTTGGCTCTGGTGGGCTCTGGTGGGTTCTGATGGGTTCTGGTGGGTTCTCGTTGGCTCTGGTGGGCTCTGGTGGGTTCTGATGGGTTCTGGTGGGTTCTGATGGGTTCTGGTCCGCTCTGGTGGGTTCTGTTGGTTCTGGTGGGTTCTGATGGGTTCTGATGGGTTCTGGGGGTTCTGGTGGGTTCTGATGGGCTCTGGTGGGTTCTGGTGGGTTTTGATGGGTTGTGAGGTTCTGGTGTGTCTGATCGGTCTGGTGGGTTCTGGTGGTTCTGGTGGGTTCTGATGGGTTCTGGTGGGTTCTGGTGGTTCTGATGGGTTCTGGTTGGTTCTGATGGGTTCTTGTGGGTTCTGGTGGGTTCTGGTGGGCTCTGGTGGGTTCTGTTGGGTTCTGGATGGGTTTTGGTGGGTTCTGATGGGTTCTGTGGGTTCTGGTGGGTTTTGATGGGTTCTAGTTGGGTTCTGGTGGGTTCTGATGGGGTCTGGTGGGTTCTGATGGGGTCTGGTGGGCTCTGATGGGGTCTGGTGGGTTCTGGTGGGTTCTGATGGGTTCTGGTGGGTTATAACATGGGTTCTGGTGGGTTCTGATGGGTTCTTGTGGGTACTGGTGGGCTCTGATGGGGTCTGGTGGGTTCTGATGTGGTCTGGTGGGTTCTGATGGGGTCTGGTGGGTTCTGGTGGGTTCTGATGGTTCTGTGGGTAATAACATGGGTTCTTGTGGGTTCTGTGGGCTCTGTTGGGTTCTGTTGGGGTCTGGTGGGTTCTGATGGGGTCTGGTGAGTTCTGGTGGGTTCTGATGGGTTCTGGTGGGTTCTACTGGGTTCTGATGGGTTCTGATGGGGTCTGGTGGGTCTGGTGGATTCTGATGGGTTCTGGTGGGTTCTCGTGGGCTCTGGTGGGCTCTCGTAAATTCTGCTGGGTTCTGATGGGTTCTGGTGGGTTCTGATGGGTTCTGCTGGGTTCTCGTGGGCTCTGGTGGGTTCTCATGGGTTCTGCTGGGTTCTGATGGGCTCTGGTGGGTTCTCGTGGGCTCCGGTGGGTTCTGATGGGTTGTGAAGGGTACTGGTGGGTTCTCGTTGGTTCTGGTGGGTTCTCGTTGGCTCTGGTGGGTTCTGATGGGTTCTGGTGGGTTCTGATGGGTTCTGGTCCGCTCTGGTGGGTTCTGTTTGGTTCTGGTGGGTTCTGGTGGGTTCTGATGGGTTCTGATGGGCTCTGGTGGGTTCTGGTGGGTTTTGATGGGTTCTGTGGGTTTAGTGGGTTCTGGTGTGTTCTGATCGGTCTGGTGGGTTCTGGGTGGGTTCTGATGGGTTCTGGTGGGTTCTGATGGGGTCTGGTGGGCTCTGATGGGGTCTAGTGGGTTCTGGTGGGTTCTGATGGGTTCTGGTGGGTTCTGATGGGTTCTGGTGGGTTCTGATGGGTTCTTGTGGGTTCTGGTGGGTTCTGGTGGGTTCTGATGGGTTCATGGTGGGTTCTGATGGGTTCTGCTGGTTCTGATGGGGTCTGGTGGGCTCTGATGGGGTCTGGTGGGTTCTTGTGGGTTCTGATGGTTCTGGTGGGTTTAACATGGGTCTGGTGGGTTCTGATGGGTTCTTGTATGGGTTCTGGTGGGCTCTGTTGGGTTCTGATGGGGTCTGGTGGGTTCTGATGGGGGTCTGGTGGGTTCTGGTGGGTTCTGATCGGGTTCTGATGGGGTCTGGTGGGTTCTGGTGGGTTCTGATGGGGTTCTGGTGGGTAATAACATGGGTTTATGATGGGTTCTTGTGGGTTCTGGTGGGCTCTGTTGGGTCTGGTGGGTTCTGATGGGTTCTGGTGGGTTTCTGTGGGTTCTGATGGGTTCTGGTGGGTTCTGCTGGGTTCTGATGGGTTCTGGTGGGTTCTGATGGGGTCTGGTGGGCTGTGGTGGGTTCTGATGGGTCTTCGTGGTGGGTTCTGGTGGGTTCTCGTGGGCTCTGGTGGGCTCTCGTAAGTTCTGGTGGGTTCTGCTGGGTTCTCGTGGGCTCTGGTGGGTTCTGATGGGTTCTACTGGGTTCTGATGGGCTCTGGTGGGTTCTCGTGGGCTCCGGTGGGTTCTGATGGGTTGTGAAGGGTACTGGTGGGTTCTCGTTGGTTCTGGTGGGTCTCGTATGGCTCTGGTGGGTTCTGGTGGGTTCTGGGTGGGGTTCTGATGGGTTCTGTGGGTTCTGGTGCGTTCTGTTGGGTTCTGATGGGTTCTGGTGGGTTCGGTGGGTTCTGATGGGTTCTGGTGGGTTCTGATGGGCTCTGGTGGGCTCTGATGGGTTCTGGTGGGTTTTTAATGGGTTCTGGTGGGTTCTGATGGGTTCTGATGGGTTCTGGTGGGTTCTGATTGGTTCTGTGGGTTCTGATGGGTTCTGGTGAGTTGATGGGTTCTGATGGGTTCTGGTGGGTTCTGATGGGTTCTGATGGGTTCTGGTGGGATCTGATGGGTTATTATGGGTTCTGGTGGGTTCTGATGGGTCTGAGTGGGTTCTGGTGGGTTCTGATGGGTTCTGGTGGGTTCTGATGGGTTCTGGTGGGTTCTGGTGGGTTCTGTTGGACTCGGTATACTTTGTACTGTATACTATATACTGTGTACTGTATACTGTGTACTGTATACTATATACTGTGTACTGTGTACTGTATACTGTGTACTGTATACTGTGTACTGTATACTGTGTACTGTATACCGTGTCCTGTGTTCTGTATACTGTGTACTGTATACTGTGTCCTGTGTATTGTGTCCTGTGTACTGTATACTGTGTACTGTATACTGTGTCCTGTGTACTGTATACTGTGTACTGTTTACTATATACTGTGTCCTGTGTACTCTATACTGTGTACTGTATACTGTGTCCTGTGTATTGTGTCCTGTGTACTGTATACTGTGTACTGTATACTGTGTCCTGTGTACTGTATACTGTGTACTGTATACTGTGTCCTGTGTATTGTGTCCTGTGTACTGTATACTGTGCCCTGTGTATTGTGTCCTGTGTACTGTATACTGTGTACTGTATACTGTGTCCTGTGTACTGTATACTGTGTACTGTATACTGTGTCCTGTGTACTGTATACTGTGTACTGTATATTGTGTCCTGTGTACTGTATACTGTGCATTGTATACTGTGTCCTGTGTATTGTGTCCTGTGTACTGTATATTGTGTACTGTATACTGTGTCCTGTGTACTGTATATTGTGTACTGTATACTGTGTCCTGTGTATTGTGTCCTGTGTACTGTATACTGTGTCCTGTGTACTGTATACTGTGTACTGTATACTCTGTACTGTATACTGTGTCCTGTGTACTGTATACTGTGTACTGTATACTGTGTCCTGTGTATTGTGTCCTGTGTACTGTATACTGTGTCCTGTGTATTGTGTCCTGTGTACTGTATACTGTGTACTGTATACTGTGTCCTGTGTATTGTGTCCTGTGTACTGTATACTGTGCCCTGTGTATTGTGTCCTGTGTACTGTATACTGTGTCCTGTGTATTGTGTCCTGTGTACTGTATACTGTGTCCTGTGTATTGTGTCCTGTGTACTGTATACTGTGTCCTGTGTATTGTGTCCTGTGTACTGTATACTGTGTACTGTATACTGTCCTGTGTACTGTATACTGTGTACTGTATACTCTGTACTGTATACTGTGTCCTGTGTATTGTGTCCTGTGTACTGTATACTGTCCTGTGTACTGTGTACTGTGTATTGTGTCCTGTGTACTGTATACTGTGTCCTGTGTACTGTGTCCTGTGTATTGTGTCCTGTGTACTGTATACTGTGTCCTGTGTATTGTGTCCTGTGTACTGTATACTGAGTCCTGTGTACTGTGTCCTGTGTATTGTGTCCTGTGTACTGTATACTGTGTCCTGTGTATTGTGTCCTGTGTACTGTATATGTCATGTGGGTTTTCGATGAGTGGATAGGGTAAGAATACTCACGTAGGCTGGTAGTACGTATAATATAACGGAAGGTATGGAAAGCACCAACAGCCGACCTGCCTCTCTTTGCTCCCTACCTTGACTGACTCACAAGTGTCTACAGGGTGTGGGGGTGTTTGAAATCCTGCTATGGTCAGCAGCAATATGAATACAGTCAGTGATTCACGCAGAGACGGTTGGTAGTGAGTCATCTACTGGTACACTGGTTACTGGTAACTGGTTACTAGGAACTGGTACTACTACTGAGATATAGTGTGTACTGTTGTGGCATGCAAAGAGTACGTAACCTTTATTCGGCGCATGGACACACCCTCATTTACAGGCTATCTCCCCCAACCAGCGAACCAGGTTGCTAAGAGTTGGTGATGGGGCCCCGTCGTTCAACTAGTGACCAGGTTCTAGCCAATAAGAAGGTGGGATTGGCAATCGCAGAGGTTATGTGGATACCACTCTCCTGTCTGCCCTTGTCATTCCCATTCTAGAGCTGGTTGAAGCATGGTCTGCTATCTTGTGGCTTCTATTTCTGCCTTGCTTACCGTGGAGTGCACTATACTTATCACTGTACATAGTGTACATATTGCTGTTCTAAATTGGTGAAGGATAATATAAGTCTAAACTTTTTCTGCTGTGTTTATTTTGCTCCCATTACACCTGGGATAACAGGCCTTTGAAATCCTAGAGTGTAATAACTGTATACTGTGTCCTGTGTACTCTATACTGTGTACTGTATACTGTGTACTGTATACTGTGTCCTGTGTACTGTGTACTGTATACTGTGTACTGTATACTGTACTATATACTGTGTATTGTATACTGTGTACTGTATACTGTACTATATACTGTGTACTGTATACTGTGTACTGTATACTGTGTACTGTATACTATATACTGTGTCCTGTGTACTGTATACTGTGTATTGTATACTGCGTACTGTATACTGTATTCTGTATACTGTATACTATATACTGTGTCCTGTATACTGTGTATTGTATACTGTGTACTGTATACTGTATTCTGTATACTGTATACTCTATACTGTGTCCTGTGTACTGTATACTGTGTATTGTATACTGTGTACTGTATACTGTATTCTGTATACTGTATACTATATACTGTGTACTGTATACTGTGTATTGTATATTGTATACTGCGTACTGTATACTGTGTATTGTATACTGTGTATTGTATACTGTGTACTGTATACTGTATTCTGTATACTGTATACTCTATACTGTGTCCTGTGTACTGTATACTGTGTATTGTATACTGTGTACTGTATACTGTATTCTGTATACTGTATACTATATACTGTGTACTGTATACTGTGTATTGTATATTGTATACTGCGTACTGTATACTGTGTATTGTATACTGTGTATTGTATACTGTATACTGTGTACTGTATTCTGTATTGTTTACTGTGTATTGTATACTGTATATTGTGTACTCTGTACTGTATATTGTGTACTGTATACTGTGTATTGTATACTGTATACTGTGTACTGTATACTGTGTATTGTATACTGTGTATTGTGTACTCTATACTGTGTATTGTGTACTGTATTCCGTGTATTGTATACTGTATACTGTGAATTGTATACTGTATATTGTGTACTGTATACTGTGTACTGTATACCGTGTACTGTATACTGTATATTGTATACTGTATACTGTGTATTGTATACTGTATACTGTGTATTGTATACTGTATACTGTGTACTGTATACTGTGTACTGTATACCGTGTACTGTATACTGTATATTGTGTACTGTATACTGTGTACTGTATACTGTGTACTGTATACTGTGCTGTGTCAGCTAGAGTGCCACAGTAACACTGTCACTGTTATCAGTACCTGAAGTGGCACCTGCAGTAGGACCTGGCACCTTCCTGGTCACCTTCAGGTCACCACTACGTGACCTCACCTTCACCTGGCGACCTGTCCCTACCCTCCTTCACAATGCTCCTGACTTCACCTATTTCGTCAGCGCCTCTGTCAGCACTACTAGGTAAGGCTGACGCCTCCTGCTGTGTAATTCCAGGTGAAAATAAGGTGTAAATAGGTGTATAAATAGGTGTAGGTGAGAGTGTAATTGAGGTACTGTGTTTCAGGGTCACAGTCACAAATGCTACTGTGAAAGGCACCTGTTTCACCTTTGCTAACCTCTCCAGTAGTCAGTCTTATAGGTGAGTCCTCCCCTACCCAGTCTCACCTAGCAGTAAGTAGGTACCTGGGTGTTAGTCTACTAACACCTGCTGTCATGTTCACCTAGCATTAAGTAGGTACCTGGGTGTTAGTCTACTAACACCTGCTGTCATTGTTCACCTAGCAGTAAGTAGGTACCTGGGTGTTAGTAGACTAACACCTGCTGTCACTGTTCACCTAGCATTAAGTAGGTACTTGGGTGTTAGTAGACTAACACCTGCTGTCACTGTTCACCTAGCATTAAGTAAGTACTTGGGTGTTAGTAGACTAACACCTGCTGTCACTGTTCACCTAGCATTAAGTAGGTACTTGGGTGTTAGTCTACTAACACCTACTGTCACTGTTCACCTATCATTAAGTAGGTACATGGGTGTTAGTCTACTAACACTTACTGTCACTGTTCACCTAGCATTACGTAGGTACTTGGCTGTTAGTTTACTAACACCTACTGTCACTGTTCACCTATCATTAAGTAGGTACCTGGGTGTTAGTCTGCTAACACCTGCTGTCACTGTTCACCCGGTGGTCTGGTGGGTAAAGCTCCCGCTTCACACACGGAGGGCCCGGGTTCGATTCCCGGCGGGTGGAAACACGTTTCCTTACACCTGTTGTCCTGTTCACCTAGCAGCAAATAGGTACCTGGGTGTTAGTCGACTGGTGTGGGTCGCATCCTGGGGGACAAGATTAAGGACCACAATGGAAATAAGTTAGACAGTCCTCGATGACGCACTGACTTTCTTGGGTTATCCTGGGTGGCTAACCCTCCGGGGTTAAAAATCCCAACGAAATCTTATCTTATCTTACCTGGGCGTTAGTCTACTAACACCTGCTGTCACTGTTCACCTAGCATTAAGTACGTACTTGGGTGTTAGTCTACTAACACCTGCTGTCACTGTTCACCTAGCATTAAGTAGGTACCTGGGTGTTAGTCTACTAACACCTGCTGTCACTGTTCACCTAGCAGTAAGTAGGTACCTGGGTGTTAGTCTACTAACACCTGCTGTCACTGTTCACCTAGCATTAAGTAGGTACCTGGGTGTTAGTCTACTAACACCTGCTGTCACTGTTCACCTAGCAGTAAGTAGGTACCTGGGTGTTAGTCTACTAACACCTACTGTCACTGTTCACCTAGCAGTAAGTAGGTACCTGGATTATTAACCTTCCCAGGGTAGTAATTCAGGTTAAATCTCCCATAGGTTGGAGGTCGTGGGTCAGAACAGTGAGGGTATAGGTCATGAGAGGTCGTGGGTACTAGTGTGGGCAGCCAGGGACATGCCCCAGGTACCCATCCTTCCCGTTGTTATAATACACCAACTACAAGAACAGCAGCTATTGTATGAGCTCAGGTAATGTATTTTTCGTGAAATGTATCGATTTATTGAGAAAATAATTGAAATAGATACCATGGAGCAGAACCAGAGGTCATTATTGCTGTTGTTGTAGGTGGAGCAGCAGTGGCGCGGGACACGGGTACACAGTGTACCTGTGTAGTGGTCACCTGGGCACCTCACACACCTGTCAGGTAACCTAGCTGACTCACCTGTTTCCCCTAGGTAATAATAATTGCAATAATAATAGTAATGCGACTGACTGGCTGACTGACTGGCTGACTGACTGGCTGACTGACTGACTGACTGACTGACTGACTAGTATTACCAGCTGCTGACTGTTGTATCCCCTGACAGGCTGCCATCTACTGGCTTGCACTGGGTGAGCTGACATCTGTCAACCTCACCCTGGCTGACTTCAACCTGACGGATGCTGATGGAGGTTCTGGAGTGATATTTGGAGTGTCAGTGGAGGTTGTGGAGTCAGGGGCCTCCAGTGGTATGTCCTGGGATATATGTACCACTCCCAGGGTATACTCCACCGCCCTCACGCCACCTACTGTAGATACCCCAGTTGTTATGTAAGTACCCATTGTTAGCGGGTATATTACAGTGTCTAGACACTATCAGTGGTATATTACACTGTCTAGACACTATCAGTGGGTATATTACAGTGTCTAGACACTATCAGTGGTATATTACACTGTCTAGACACTATCAGTGGTATATTACAGTGTCTAGACACTATCAGTGGTATATTACAGTGTCTAGACACTATCAGTGGTATATTATAGTGTCTAGACACTATCAGTGGGTATATTTACAGTGTCTAGACACTATCAGTGGTATATTACAGTGTCTAGACACTATCAGTGGTATATTATAGTGTCTAGACACTATCAGTGGGTATATTACAGTGTCTAGACACTATCAGTGGTATATTACAGTCTAAACACTATCAGTGGGTATATTACAGTGTCTTGACACTATCAGTGGGTATATTACAGTGTCTAGACACTATCAGTGAAATATTACAGTGTCTAGAACACTATCAGTGGTATATTACAGTGTCTAGACACTTTCAGTGGGTATATTACAGTGTCTAGACACTATCAGTGGTATATTACAGTGTCTAAACACTATCAGTGGTATATTACAGTGTCTAGACACTATCAGTGGTATATTACAGTGTCTAGACACTATCAGTGGTATATTACAGTGTCTAGACACTATCAGTGGGTATATTACAGTGTCTAGACACCATCAGTGGTATATTACAGTGTATAGACACTATCAGTGGTATATTACAGTGTCTAGACACTATCAGTGGGTATATTACAGTGTCTAGACACTATCAGTGGGTATATTACAGTGTCTAGCCCACTATCAGTGGTATATTACAGTGTCTAGACACTATCAGTGGTATATTACAGTGTCTAGACACTATCAGTGGTATATTACAGTGTCTAGACACTATCAGTGGGTATATTACAGTGTCTAGACACCATCAGTGGGTATATTACAGTGTCTAGACACCATCAGTGGTATATTACAGTGTCTAGACACTATCAGTGGGTATATTACAGTGTCTAGACACTATCAGCGGGTATATTACAGTGTCTAGACACTATCAGTGGTATATTACAGTGTCTAGACACTATCAGTGGTATATTACAGTGTCTAGACACTATCAGTGGTATATTACAGTGTCTAGACACTATCAGTGGTATATTATAGTGTCTAGACACTATCAGTGGGTATATTACAGTGTCTAGACACTATCAGTGATATATTACAGTGTCTAGACACTATCAGTGGTATATTACAGTGTCTAGACACTATCAGTGGCATATTACAGTGTCTAGACACTATCAGTGGGTATATTACACTGTCTAGACACTATCAGTGGTATATTACAGTGTCTAGACACTATCAGTGGTATATTACAGTGTCTAGACACTATCAGTGGGTAATATTACAGTGTCTAGACACTTTTCAGTGGTATATATTACAGTGTCTAGACACTATCAATGGTATATTACAGTGTCTAGACACTATCAGTGGTATATTACAGTGTCTAGACACTATCAGTGGTATATTACAGTGTCTAGACACTATCAGTGGGTATATTACAGTATCTAGACACTATCAGTGGGTATATTACAGTGTCTAGACACTATCAGTGGGTATATTACAGTGTCTAGACACTATCAGTGGTATATTACAGTGTCTAGACACTATCAGTGGTATATTATAGTGTCTGGACACTACAGTGGGTATATACAGTGTCTAGACACTATCAGTGGTATATTACAGCGTCTAGACACTATCATGGGTATATACAGTGTCTAGACACTATCAGTGGGTATATTACAGTGTCTAGACACTATCAGTGGGTATATTTACAGGTCTAGACACTATCAGTGGTATATTACAGTGTCTAGACACTATCAGTGGTATATATAGTGTCTGGACACTATCAGTGGGTATTACAGTGTCTAGACACTATCAGTGGTATATCCAGTGTCTAGACACTATCATGGTATATTACATGTCTAGACACTATCAGTGGGTAATTTACAGTGTCTAGACATATCAGTGTATATTACAGTGTCTAGACACTATCAGTGGTATATTACAGTGTCTAGACACTATCAGTGGTATATTACATGTCTAGACACTATCAGTGGTATATTACAGTGTCTAGACACTATCAGTGGTATATTACACTGTCTAGACACTATCAGTTGTATATTACATTGTCTAGACACTATCAGTGGTATATTATAGTGTCTAGACACTATCAGTGGTATATTACAGTGTCTAGACACTATCAGTGGTATATTACAGTGTCTAGACACTATCAGTGGTATATTACAGTGTCTAGACACTATCAGTGGGTATATTACAGTGTCTAGACACTATCAGTGGTATATTACAGTGTCTAGACACTATCAGTGGTATATTACAGTGTCTAGACACTATCAGTGGTATATTACAGTGTCTAGACACTATCAGTGGTATATTACAGTGTCTAGACACTATCAGTGGGTTATACTACAGTGTCTAGACACTATCAGTGGTATATTACAGTGTCTAGACACTATCAGTGGTATATTACAGTGTCTAGACACTATCAGTGGTATATTACAGTGTCTAGACACTATCAGTGGTATATTACAGTGTCTAGACACTATCAGTGGTATATTACACTGTCTAGACACTATCAGTTTGTATATTACATTGTCTAGACACTATCAGTGGTATATTATAGTGTCTAGACACTATCAGTGGTATATTACAGTGTCTAGACACTATCAGTGGTATATTACAGTGTCTAGACACTATCAGTGGTATATTACAGTGTCTAGACACTATCAGTGGGTATATTACAGTGTCTAGACACTATCAGTGGTATATTACAGTGTCTAGACACTATCAGTGGGTATATTACAGTGTCTAGACACTAACAGTGGTAATTACAGTGTCTAGACACTATCAGTGGTATATTACAGTGTCTAGACACTATCAGTGGGTATACTACAGTGTCTAGACACTATCAGTGGTATATTACAGTGTCTAGACACTATCAGTGGTATATTACAGTGTCTAGACACTATCAGTGGTATATTACAGTGTCTAGACACTATCAGTGGTATATTACAGTGTCTAGACACTATCAGTGGTATATTACACTGTCTAGACACTATCAGTTGTATATTACATTGTCTAGACACTATCAGTGGTATATTATAGTGTCTAGACACTATCAGTGGTATATTACAGTGTCTAGACACTATCAGTGGTATATTACAGTGTCTAGACACTATCAGTGGTATATTACAGTGTCTAGACACTATCAGTGGTATATTACAGTGTCTATCCATAGTTTAAGTAGATAATCTACCCAAAAGTCTATGTTATGTTATACATATAATATATACAATACCTACAACAAGAATTAGACACATGTACAACATCTGGGTATCTTTATTGTAGACGTTTCGCCCATCCAGTGGCATTATCAGTACAATCCAAGGACATAACGTGAAGACTGTACAACTATATATATTAGAGATGAGGTAATCAATCCCTCGTTAGACCGTTGTTTTGAAGACTCTGATGTACCGTGAATCGAAGGGTCTTGCAGGTAAGGACCCACAAGTCATTCCCAATGGATGGGCTAGGAGTAAGCTAGTAGTTGTGGAGATGATTCCCAAGGATGGACCAGGAGTAAGCTAGTAGTTGTGGAGATGATTCCCAAGGATGGACCAGGAGTAAGCTAGTAGTTGTGGAGATGATTCCCAAGGATGGACCAGGAGAAAGCTAGTAGTTGTGGAGATGATTCCCAAGGATGGACCAGGAGTAAGCTAGTAGTTGTGGAGATGATTCCCAAGGATGGACCAGGAGTAAGCTAGTAGTGTGGAGATGATTCCCAAGGATGGACCAGGAGAAAGCTAGTAGTTGTGGAGATGATTCCCAAGGATGGACCAGGAGAAAGCTAGTAGTTGTGGAGATGATTCCCAAGGATGGACCAGGAGTAAGCTAGTAGTTTGTGGAGATGATTCCCAAGGATGGACCAGGAGAAGCTAGTAGTTGTGGAGATGATTCCAAGGTATGGACCAGGTAAGCTAGTAGTTGTGGAGATGATTCCAAGGATGGACCAGGATAAGCTAGTAGTTGTGGAATGATTCCCAAGGATGGACAGAAAAGCTAGTAGTTGGGAGATGATTCCCAAGGATGCCAGGAGAAGCTATAGTTGTGGAGTTTCCCCATGGGCCAGGAGAGCAGTATTGTGAATGATTCCAAGGATGGACCGAGAAAGCTAAGTAGTTGTGGAAAGATGATTCCAAGGATGGACAGAGAAGCTAGTAGTTGTGGAGATCATCCCAAGGATGGACCAGGAGTAAGCTAGTGTTGTGGAGATGAATTCCAGGTACAGGAAGCTAGTAGTTGGGAGATTCCCAAGGATGGGCAGGAGTAAGCTAGTAGTTGTGGAGATGATTCCCAAGGATGGACCAGGAGTAAGCTAGTAGTTGTGGAGATGATTCCCAAGGATGGACCAGGAGAAAGCTAGTAGTTGTGGAGATGATTCCCAAGGATGGACCAGGAGAAAGCTAGTAGTTGTGGAGTGATTCCCAAGGATGGACCAGGAGAAAGCTAGTAGTTGTGGAGATGATTCCCAAGGATGGACCAGGAGAAAGCTAGTAGTTGTGGAGATGATTCCCAAGGATGGACCAGGAGAAAGCTAGTAGTTGTGGAGATGATTCCCAAGGATGGACCAGGAGTAAGCTAGTAATTGTGGAGATGATTCCCAAGGATGGACCAGGAGTAAGCTAGTAGTTGTGGAGATGATTCCCAAGGATGTACCAGGAGAAAGCTAGTAGTTGTGGAGATGATTCCCAAGGATGGACCAGGAGTAAGCTAGTAGGTTGTGGAGATGATTCCCAAGGATGGACCAGGAGTAAGCTAGTAGGTTGTGGAGATGATTCCCAAGGATGGACCAGGAGAGAGCTAGTAGTTGTGTTGATTCCCAAGGATGGACCAGGAGTAAGCTAGTAGGTTGTGGAGATGATTCCCAAGGATGGACAAGGAGTAAGCTAGTAGTTGTGGAGATGATTCCCAAGGATCGGACCAGGAGTAAGCTAGTAGTTGTGGAGATGATTCCCAAGGATGGACCAAGGAGTAAGCTAGTAGTTGTGGAGATGATTCCCAAGGATGGACCAGGAGTAAGCTAGTAGTTGTGGAGATGATTCCCAAGGATGGACCAGGAGTAAGCTAGTAGTTGTGGAGATGATTCCCAAGGATGGACCAGGAGTAAGCTAGTAGGTTGTGGAGATGATTCCCAAGGATGGACCAGGAGTAAGCTAGTAGTTGTGGAGATGATTCCCAAGGATGGACCAGGAGTAAGCTAGTAGTTGTGGAGATGATTCCCAAGGATGGACCAGGAGTAAGCTAGTAGTTGTGGAGATGATTCCCAAGGATGGACCAGGAGTAAGCTAGTAGCTGTGGAGATTATTTCCAAGGATGGACCAGGAGTAAGCTAGTAGCTGTGGATATGATTCCCAAGGATGGACCAGGAGTAAGCTAGTAGGTTGTAGAGATGTCCGCTGTACCAAGATTCTTTGATGTTGTGTCTGACAAGTTAATGTCCCCCTGTTGACAAAAGGGGACATCACACCCATCTCGCTTACTATTGACCCCTCCTTACTACTGGCCCCTCCTTACTACTGGCCCTTCCTTACTACTGGCCCCTCCTTACTACTGGCCCCTCCTTACTACTGGCCCCTCCTTACTACTGGCCTCTCCTTACTACTGGCCCCTCCTTACTAACTGCCCCCTCCTTACTATTACCCCCTCCTTACTACTGCCCCCTCCTTACTACTGCCGCCCTCCTTACTTACTGCCCCCCCTTACACTGGCCCCTCCTTAATACTGCCCCTGTGCATACTCGCCCCCCATACTACTGCCTCTCCTTACTACTGGCCCCTCACTTACTACTGCCCCCTGCTTATAATAATTTCAACATGGCCCAGGTCCCTTAGTAGGTCTTAGATGACTCCCACATACCAGGAGTACTGGCCTCTCTTATGATTGGCCCGGTACCTGATAAGCTTTACTTGTGTTAGATGACTTTCCAAGGATGGACCAGAGTACGCTGCCTTATTGAGATGATTCCCCAAGGATGACCTAGAGTAAGCTAGTATGTGAGATAATGTCCAAGGATGGACCAAGCCTATACTATGTCTTGAGTACATTTCCAATGATGGCCCCTTAGTAAGCTAGTAGTTTAGTAGATGTCCGCTTTACATGGCATCTCCTTTATGTTTGATCTGACCTAATTGATGTCCCCCTGTTGACAAAGGGCACACACCATGCCTTACTATTGACCCCCTCCTTACTACTGGCCCTCCTTACTACTGGCCCTCCTTACTACTGGCCCCTCCTTACTACTGCCCCTCGTTACTATGGCCCCGCCTTACTACTGCCCCCTCCTTACTACTGGCCCCTCCTTACTACTGGCCCCTCCTTACTACTGGCCCCTCCTTACTACTGGCCCCTCCTTACTACTGGCCCATCCTTACTACTGGCCCCTCCTTACTACTGGCCCCTCCTTACTACTGGCCCCTCCTTACTACTGGCCCCCTCTTTACTACTGCCCCCTCCTTACTACTGCCCCTCCTTACTAGTGCCCCGTCCTTACTACGTGCGCCCTCCTTACTACTGCCCCTCCTTACTACTGCCCCTCCTTACTACTGCCCCCTCCTTACTACTGCCCCCTCTTTACTACTGGCCCCTCCTTACTACTGGCCCCTCCTTACTACTGGCCCCCTCCTTACTACTGCCCCGCTCCTTACTACTGGCCCCTCCTTACTACTGCCCCCTCCTTACTACTGCCCCCTCCTTACTACTGGCAGCATGACCTTTAAAAGTGGTGGAGTGGTAAGCCAGTGGAAGGCCTCGGTCAGATGACCCAAAGCTCCAGCTGTGGGTCATCCTGGTTCCTAACTAACATCATACCTGCCTGTGCTTTAGAGTCTTCAAGACTACAGTCCTCTCCATCAAGACCGTGAAACTGTTTATTTTATCTTTGGTGTCGAGTTCTACGGGTAAGATAAGATAAGATTTCGTTGGGATTTTTAACCCCGGAGGGTTAGCCACCCAGGATAACCCAAGAAAGTCAGTGCGTCATCGAGGACTGTCTAACTTATTTCCATTGGGGTTCCTTAATCTTGTCCCCCAGGATGCCGACCCACACCAGTCGACTAACACCCAGGTACCTATTTGCTGCTAGGTGAACAGGACAACAGGTGTAAGGAAACGTGTCGAATGTTTCCACCTGCCGGGAATCGAACCCGGGCCCTCCGTGTGTGAAGCGGGAGCTTTAGCCACCAGGCCTTGTATCGATGAAGACACTGGGTGGGTGACACGTCTACGGGTAAAGACACTCGGATGTTGCACGTGTGTCTAATTCTTTAGGTGTGTAATCTGTTATCCTGTATTGGTCTGTGTGGGCAGGTCAGAGGGCAAAGTGAGGATGCCCTGGGCACTGGACTGTGATGCTTGGGCAGGTGTAGTGCTGGCACTGGAGGTCACCTACTGCCCTGGGCATTATACCTTCCCCTGGGAGTGCCAAGGTGAGTGTCAGGGGCCATATAGGTGGTCTCTTTGTGGTCGTACCTGATTTTACAGCTTTGTGTGGGGTACCTGCTTACTCACCTGAATACTTGGCGTTATTTCAGGTGAAGTGCAGGTGGAGAGTGAGGTGTGGCTAGGTGAGGTCGAGGTGAGGCACCTAGAACCTGATACACTGTACACAGTATGGTTGAGAGTCACCTATCGTGCTGGAACCTCACAGTGGTCACCTGCCCAGTATTTTACCACTGATAACTCACCTGGTAGGTGCCTGGTTCACTTAATACTTACACCTTATAGCTGGTAGGTGCCTAGTTCACCTAACACACCTGCAGGTGCCTGGTTCACCTAATACCTACACCTTATAGCTGGTAGGTGCCTAGTTCACCTAACACACCTGGTAGGTGCCTGGTTCACCTGATAACTTCCCTGTTATCATTATTTTTACAGTGAAAGTGGTATGGTGGATGGTGGTAGTGATGGTGGTGGTAGGCCTTTCATCTGTGGTGATTCTGGTGACCCTCATCAGATGCGCAGTAAGGTGAGGCCTCACACACACACACACACACACACACACACACACACACACACACACACACACACACATACACACACACACACATACACATACACATGTGTATATATTGTTATAAGTGATATATAGACTGAAGAGAGCAGGGTAATCATCCCTTTATTAATTATCTCTCTCTCTCTCTCTCTCTCTCTCTCTCTCTCTCTCTCTCTCTCTCTCTCTCTCTCTCTCTCTCTCTCTCTCTCTCTCTCAGGAACTTATCAGTCACTATGGACGACATACACAGAGACATACACATCCCTGAGGGGTTGATCTCCTACAACACACCAAACTCGGTGAGTACAAGTTTCAAGCCGAGCTGACGAGGCTTTCCCGAGGTATCTAGAGTAGAAATGACTGAGAAATATGCACACAGGACGAAACCAGCTGCAAGTGACGATGTTTTGCTCATATAGTGGACGGTTTTACAGGTCACAGACGGGAGAAACAGTGTGGGAGAAACCTTGGCCGATGTTTCGACCCTTTCTGAACCATCCTCAAGACACCAGTGAAGAATTATTATCATTATTATAATTATTATTATAATAAATTTTCTGTCAATAATAATAATAATAATAATAATAATAATAATAATAATAAATACGATAATTATTTTTATCTATTATTTACCCTAATTATTATTTTTTTATGGTTATCTGTGAACATCATTGTTATATATAGTAAGATAACAGGTGTTATCAGTACGTACCTGCTGCTGCTGCTGCTGCGTCAGTATGTGCTAGTTGGTGCTGGTAGTGGCACTCCTGTGTCCTTGTTTTGGCACCTGTGTCCTTAATTAGGTGGCCAGTGACGCCTGTGTTGGCACCTAGGTCGTTAATTTGGGGTTTCTAGGCACCTGAATCATTAATTAGGTGTCCTGTGACGCCTATGTTATCACCTGCATCGTAATTAGGTGTTTCTAGACACCTAGGCGGTTATTTAGGTGTTTTAAGGTGAAGTAGTCATCTATATTGGTACCTGAGTCCTTAATTAGGTGGCCAGTGACGCCTGTGTTGGCACCTAGGTCGTTAATTTGGGGTTTCTAGGCACCTGAATCATTAATTAGGTGTCCTGTGACGCCTATGTTATCACCTGCATCGTAATTAGGTGTTTCTAGACACCTAGGCGGTTATTTAGGTGTTTTAAGGTGAAGGAGTCATCTATATTGGTACCTGGGTCCTTAATTAGGTGTCTCTAGGCACCTAGATCATTAATTAGATGTTTTAAGGTAAAGTGGTGATCTGTGTTGTCACTTGGGTCCTTAATTAGGTGTCTCTAAGTACACACGTAGTTAATTAGGTATCTCTTGACACCAGCGTTGGCACCTGGGTTCTTAATTGGGTGTTTTAGGAACCTAAGTCGTTAATTAGGTATCTCATGATACCTGTGTTGGAACCTGGGTCGTTAATTTGGCGTTTCTAGGCACCTAAGTCGTTAATTAGGTATCCTAGGTGACCTGACACTTATCTCACATGTGGTCCAGAAGCAGGCGCGGCGTTAGGTGTGTGGTAAGCCGCCCATCATAATCTGCCTCCCCGGCGTAGGTAGGTGTCGGTGGCACCCTAATGCTAATTGATGTTTGGTGTAAAGTGGTGATCTGTGGCACGGGTCCTTGCCAAGGTGATCCCTAAGTCACACGTAGTTAATAGTACTCTGAACCAAGCGTGCACTGGGTTCTTAATTGGGTGTTTAGGAACCTAAGTCGTTAATTAGGTATCTCATGATACCTGTGTTGGAACCTGGGTCGTTAATTTGGCGTTTCTAGGCACCTAAGTCGTTAATTAGGTATCCTAGGTGACCTGACACTTATCTCACATGTGGTCCAGAAGGCAGGCGCGGGCGTGTGGCACTGGGCATGGGGTATTGGGCCCCAGAGTACACCTGACATTAATAGGGTCCAGTGACGCGTGTACACTTGGTCCTTAATTAGGTGTTAGTCACTAGTGTTATTAGTATTTCAGTAGTAGTATCATATAGTGTACCTATCGTAAGTATCATATAGTAACCAGTAGTAGTTCGTTGTGTACCTAGTAGTGTATATTAGTGTTATAGTAGTATCATGTAGTTAGTAGTAGTATCAGGTATCAGTAGTAGTAGTGTATCAGAAATCAGTAGTATACATATATAGTAGTAGTAGTAAGAGTATCATATTACATGATAGTATCAGCATAGTATGTAAATAGTAAGTACAGTAGTATCAGGTAGTAGCTAAGTAGTCAGTTATATGTCAGTCAGAGTACACGTAGTATATCAGTAGTAGTACGCTAGTGAGTACATAGTAGTCATATAGTGTATCAGTACTAGTCAGTTATTAGTATCATAGTGTATCATGTAAGAGTTAATTAGTAGTTAGTATCGTAATAGGTAGTAGTACAGATATTCATAGTGAGTATCAGTACGTAGTATCAGTAGTAGCATCAGTAGATAGTATCAGTAATAGTATCAGGTAGGTGAGTATCAGTAGTAGTATCATAGTAGTATCACTATAGTATAAGTAGTAGTACCAGTAGTATGTATCAGTTCAGTAGTAATCAGTAGAGTATCATAGTATTAGTACTAGAGTAATGAGTATCAGTAGTAGTATCAGTATATATCAGTAGTAGTTCAGTAGTAGTATCAGTAGTAGTATCAGTAGTAGTAATCAGTAGTAGTATCAGTATAGTATCAGTAGAGTAGTATCAGTAGTTCAAGTGATCAGTAGTATACAGAGTAGTATCAGTAGTAGTAGTAATCAGTAGTAGTATCATGTAGTAATCAGTATCAGTATAGTTAGTAGTATCAGTAATATATCAGTAGTAGTACAGTAGTAGTATCAGTTAGTAGTATCAGTAGTAGTAGATCATAGTAGTATCAGTAGTAGTATCAGTAGTAGTATCAGTATAGTATCAGTAGTAGTATAGTAGTAGTATCAGTATGTAGTATCAGTAGTAGTTCAGTATGTATCAGTAGTAGTATCAGAAGTATATCAGTAGTAGTATCAGTAGTAGTATCTATAGTAGTTAGTAATCAGTTAGAGTATAGTCAGTAGTAAGTAGAGTATCAGTATAGTCAGTATAGTACAGTATAGTATCAGTAGTGTATCAGTGTAAGTATAGTATCAGTAGTAGTATCAGTAGTAGTAAGTATCAGTAGTAGTATCATAGTAGTATCATAGTATATCAGTAGTAGTATCAGTAGTAGTAGTATCAGTATGTAAGTATCAGTAGTAAGTATCATAGTAGTATAGTAGATCAGTAGTAGTATCAGTAGTAGTATCATAGTAGATCAGTTAGTATCAGTAATTGTAGTATCAGTAGTCAGTAAGTATCAGTATAGTATCAGTAGTAGTATCAGTAGTAGTATCAGTAGTATGTAATCAGTAGTAGTATATGTATATAGTATTCAGTAGTAGTATCAGTAGTAAGTAGTCATAGGTATCATGTAGTTCAGTATAAGTATCAGTATATAATCATAGTAGTATCAGTAGTAGTATCAGTAGTAGTAGTATACAGTAGTAGTATCAGTAGTAGTATCAGTAGTAGTATCAGTAGTAGTATCAGTATGATAGAGTATCAGTAGTAGTCAGTAAGTAGTACAGTAGAGTATCAGTATCAGTTAATAGTAGTAGTATCATAGTATAGTAATGTAGTATCAGTAGTAGTAAGTAGTTATCAGGTAGTAGTAAGTAGTATCAGTAGTAGTATCAGTGGGTAGTAGTATCAGTAGTAGTATCAGTAGTAGTATCAGTAGTAGTATCAGTAGTAGTATATATCAGTAGTAAGTATCAGTAGTAGTATCAGTAGTAGTAGTCATACAGTAGTAGTATCAGTAGTTTAGTAGTCAGTAGTAGTATCAGTAGTAGTATCAGTAGTAGTATCAGTAGTAGTATCAGTTAGAAAGTTGTAGTATCAGTATAGTATATCATAGTATAGTAGTAGTCAGTTAGTAGTATCATATAGTAGTATCAGATAGTAGATTCAGTAGTAGTATCAGTAGTAGTATCAGTAGTAGTATCAGTAGTAAGTATATCAGTAGTAGTAGTATCAGTAGTTAGTATCAGTTAGTAGTAGTATCAGTAGTAGTATCAGTAGTAGTATCAGTAGTAGTATCAGTAGTAGTATCAGTAGTAGTATCAGTATAGTATATAGTATTATCAGTAGTAGTATCAGTAGTAGTATCAGTAGTAGTATAGTAGTATCAGTATGTATAGTAACAGTAGTAGTATCAGTAGTAGTATCAGTAGTGAGTAGTAATCAGTAGTATTCAGTAGTAGTATCAGTAGTTATCAGTGTAGTTAGTAGTGATAGTAGTATCAGTAGTAGTATCAGTAAGTTAGTAGTATCAGTAGTAGTATTCAGTAGTAGTATCAGTAGTTTATCAGTATAGTATCAGTAGTAGTATCAGTAGTAGTAGTATCAGTAGTAGTATCAGTAGTAGTATCAGTAGAAATCAGTAGTAGTATCAGTGTATCAGTAGTAGTAGTATCAAGTAGTAGTAGCAGTAGTAGTATCAGTAGTAGTATATCAGTAGTAGTATCAGTAGTAGTAGTAGTAGTATCAGTAGTAGTATCAGTAGTAGTAGTATAGTAGTAGTAGTAGTATCAGTAGTAGTATCAGTAGTAGTATCATAGTAGTATCAGTAGTAGTAGTAGATTAGTATCAGTAGTAGTATCAGTAGTAGTATCAGTATGTAGTAGTATCAGTAGTAAGTATCAGTAGTAGTAAGTATATCAGTAGTAGTATCAGTAGTAGTATCAGTAGTAGTAGTAGTAGTATCAGTAGTAGTACAGTAGTAGTATCAGTGTAGTACAGTAGTAGTATCAGTAGTAGTAGCAGTAGTAGTATCAGTAGTAGTAAGTAGTAGTATAGTATAGTAGTAGTAGTACAGTAGTAGTATCAGTAGTAGTACAGTAGTAGTATTCAGTAGTAGTAGTAGTAGTCAGTAGTAGTATCAGTAGTAGTATCAGTAGTAGTCAGTAGTAGTATCAGTAGTAGTAGCAGTAGTAGTATCAGTAGTATCAGTAGTAGTAATCAGTAGTATATCAGTAGTAGTAGTAGAAATTAGTCTAGTATCAGTAGTAGTATGTACAGTAGTAGTATCAGTAGTATAGTATCAGTAGTAGTAGTAGTAGTATACAGTAGTATAGTACAGTAGTAGTAGCAATAGTAGTATCAGTAGTAGTATCAGTAGTAGTATCAGTAGTAGTATCAGTAGTAGTATCAGTAGTAGTAGCATCATAACTGTGGAGATGTCATCAGTCCGTCACCATGACGACGGGAGAGGCTGAGCCACCAGCATCTTCCCATATCTTCTACAAAGCTGTCTTCTCTAACCACTAGTTACGACTGAGGAAGGCTGGATTTGAGATGGACCTACCCAGCAGGCCTACTACACGGTCTTTTAGTGATTACACTGCTAGTACGGCCTCTTCTGTCCTTAAGATCATTCCCCAATTCATCTTATATGAGGGACTGATCCCCTCAAGTACGTCGTCAAGGCTGAGGGACTGATGACAACTTTATGTCTTTATTACTTCTGTAAGTTACCACTGTAACTTGTTCAGCTATCATAACAATTATTTGGCTCTATAATGTTGAGGTACAGTTCCTGGACCCATTATGTACCTCTGTAATGTTGAGGTACAGTCCCTGGACCCATTATGTACCTCTGTAATGTTGAGGTACAGTCCCTGGACCCATTATGTACCTCTGTAATGTTGAGTTACAGTCCCTGGACCCATTATGTATATCTGTAATGTTGAGGTACAGTTCCTGGACCCATTATGTACCTCTGTAATGTTGAGGTACAGTCCCTGGACCCATTATGTACCTCTGTAATGTTGAGGTACAGTCCCTGGACCCATTATGTATCTCTGTAATGTTGAGGTACAGTCCCTGGACCCATTATGTACCTCTGTAATGTTGAGGTACAGTTCCTGGACCCATTATGTACCTCCATAATGTTGAGGTACAGTCCCTGGACCCATTATGTACCTCTGTAATGTTGAGGTACAGTCCCTGGACCCATTATGTACCTCTAATGTTGAGGTACAGTCCCTGGACCCATTATGTATCTCTGTAATGTTGAGGTACAGTCCCTGGACCCATTATGTACCTCTGTAATGTTGAGGTACAGTCCCTGGACCCATTATGTATCTCTGTAATGTTGAGGTACAGTCCCTGGACCCATTATGTACCTCTGTAATGTTGAGGTACAGTCCCTGGACCCATTATGTACCTCTGTAATGTTGAGGTACAGTCCCTGGACCCATTATGTACCTCTGTAATGTTGAGGTACAGTCCCTGGACCCATTATGTACCTCTGTAATGTTGAGGTACAGTCCCTGGACCCATTATGTACCTCTGTAATGTTGAGGTACAGTCCCTGGACCCATTGTGGACCTCTGTAATGTTGAGGTACAGTTCCTGGACCCATTATGTACCTCTGTAATGTTGAGGTACAGTCCCTGGACCCATTATGTACCTCTGTAATGTTGAGGTACAGTCCCTGGACCCATTATGTACCTCTGTAATGTTGAGGTACAGTTCCTGGACCCATTATGTACCTCTGTAATGTTGAGGTACAGCCTCTGGACCCATTATGTGCCTCTAATGTTGAGGTACAGTCCCTGGACCCATTATGTACCTCTGTAATGTTGAGGTACAGTCCCTGGACCCATTATGTACCTCTGTAATGTTGAGGTACAGTCCCTGGACCCATTATGTACATCTGTAATGTTGAGGTACAGTCCCTGGACCCATTATGTACCTCTGTAATGTTGAGGTACAGTCCCTGAACCCATTATGTACCTCTGTAATGTTGAGGTACAATTCCTGGACCCATTATGTACCTCTGTAATGTTGAGGTACCGTCCCTGGACCCATTATGTACCTCTGTAATGTTGATGTACAGTCCCTGGACTCTATGTTAATTCTGGAACAAGGGAGTTAGTGGAGTAAGGTGTGTGGGGTTAGAACTCATGGCAAGTACACTCATTTGCCAGGCCAGTGCGCTAACCACTGAGCTCCCTGGCTACAATAAGACTCATCCAACTAGGTATATTTATACACCATAGGAAGGTTAGCATGGGCTACCACTGTGACCACAAACTTTAATAAAAATCTAGAAGTTAGGTCTGGGAATGTTCTTATCAGGAGGTCCAAGTGATAGGAGAATCTTAACAAATTCATATGGAGGAGAAACAATAGAGGAAAAAACTAATAAAGATCTGTGGAAAACTGCCAAATCAAATTATCTTACAGCATCAGTTTTTGGTACAGAGAATTTCCAAACATTAGCTACTATACATGTTTCAAAGCAAACTTGGGTCCATCTCTTTCAAACACCAGTTCTTTGGTCAGTTGTAACCCATCTGGGAGTGACTACATGGGCATCTTTAGACTGACTTCTTCGACCTTACCAAGTACCAATTCCAGTCTCTTGAGGTACATTTCCATGTCCTTTGACATGATATTTACATCAAATGTACACTATGATGTAATCGTGACGGATGTTGTAAAAGTATCTGTCACGAGCCCCTGAAAAGTGATAGGGGATAAGCGCAGCCCAAATGCCATGTCAAGAAAATGATAATGTTCTGTGGGGTGAGAGGGTCATGTCATCTCCCAGCATATCCACACAGCTTGGTGCCCACAAGCCAGGTCTAAAATTAGAGGTCAATATCGATGACCTCTCCTATTCTAAGCCGTCATCAACCTTATAAGCTGCAATGTGGTGACGGGTAGTGTACTACATACAAAACATTGATGTCAGTATCACTGTCAGTGTCACTGTCACAGTATCACTGTCAGTGTCACTGTCACAGTATCACTGTCAGTGTCACTGTCACAGTGACACTGTCAGTGTCACTGTCACAGTATCACTGTCAGTGTCACTGTCACAGTATCACTGTCAGTGTCACTGTCACAGTGATACTGTCAGTGTCACTGTCACAGTATCACTGTCAGTGTCACTGTCACAGTATCACTGTCAGTGTCACTGTCACAGTATCACTGTCAGTGTCACTGTCACAGTATCACTGTCAGTGTCACTGTCATAGTATCACTGTCAGTGTCACTGTCACAGTATCACTGTCAGTGTCACTGTCACAGTATCACTGTCAGTGTCACTGTCACAGTATCACTGTCAGTGTCACTGTCACAGTATCACTGTCAGTGTCACTGTCACAGTATCACTGTCACAGTATCACTGTCAGTGTCACTGTCACAGTATCACTGTCACTGTCATAGTATCACTGTCAGTGTCACTGTCACAGTATCACTGTCAGTGTCACTGTCATAGTATCACTGTCAGTGTCACTGTCACAGTATCACTGTCAGTGTCACTGTCACAGTATCACTTATGCTGTGACTGACTTATAACACTATGGTTGTTGCAGCAATGAGGCCCTCTGGTGACGTCTTCCTGGAGGTCAACACAACTGTTGAAGTCATCTGTTACATTACCAACCACACATCACTTCTCAGGGCAGACAACCTCACCTTTGTTCGTCAACAAACACATCTACCATCCCAGGTGGGTACTACCCTTCCTACCACCCAGGTGGGTACTACCCTACCATCCTAGGTGGGTACTACCCTACCATCCTAGGTGGGTACTACCCTTCCTACCACCCAGGTGGGTACTACCCTACCATCCTAGGTGGGTACTACCCTACCATCCTAGGTGGGTACTACCCTTCCTACCACCCCAGGTGGGTACTACCCTTCCTACCACCCCAGGTGGGTACTACCTTACCATCCCAGGTGGGTACTACCCTTCCTACCACCCAGGTGGGTACTACCCTACCATCCTAGGTGGGTACTACCCTACCACCCCAGGTGGGTACTACCCTTCCTACCACCCAGGTGGGTACTACCCTTCCTACCACCCCAGGTGGGTACTACCCTTCCTACCACCCCAGGTGGGTACTACCCTACCATCCTAGGTGGTACTACCCTTCCTACCACCCCAGGTGGGTACTACCCTACCATCCTAGGTGGGTACTACCCTTCCTACCACCCAGGTGGGTACTACCCTTCCTACCACCCAAGGTGGGTACTACCTTACCATCCTAGGTGGGTACTACCCTTCCTACCACCCCAGGTGGGTACTACCCTACCATCCCAGGTGGGTACTACCCTTCCTACCACCCCAGGTTGGTACTACCCTACCACCCCAGGTGGGTACTACACTACCACCCCAGGTGGGTACTACACTACCACCCCAGGTGGGTACTACACTACCACCCCAGGTGGGTACTACCCTTCCTACCACCCCAGGTTGGTACTACCCTACCATCCCAGGTGAGTACTACACTACCATCCCAGGTGGGTACTACCCTTCCTACCACCCAGGTGGGTACTACCCTTCCTACCACCTCAGGTGGGTACTACCCTTCCTACCACCCCGGGTTGATACTACCCTACCACCCCAGGTGGGTACTACACTACCACCCCAGGTGGGTACTACACTACCACCCCAGGTGAGTACTACACTACCACCCCAGGTGGGTACTACTTTTCCTACCACCCCAGGTGGGTACTACCCTTCCTACCACCCCAGGTGGGTACTACACTACCACCCCAGGTGGGTACTACCCTTCCTACCACCCCAGGTGGGTACTACACTACCACCCCAGGTGGGTATTACCCTTCCTATCACCCAGGTGGGTACTACCCTTCCTTCCACCTCAGGTGGGTACTACCCTACCTAATACCCCAGGTGGATACTACCCTACTTACAACCCCAGGTGAGTACTACCCTACCTCGCACCCCAGGTGGGTACTTCCCTACCTAACACCCCAGGTGGGTACTACCCTTCCTACCACCCCAGGTGGGTACTACCCTATCTACCACCCCAGGTGAGTACTACCCTACCTAACACCCCAGGTGGGTACTACCCTACCTAACACCTCAGGTGGGTACTACCCTACCTCCCACCCCAGGTGGGTACTACCCTACCTACCACCCAAGGTGGGTACTACCTACCACCCCAGGTGGGTACTGCCCTACCTACCACCCTAGGTGGGTAGTAGGGAGGGTATCTGTCTATCCACCTACCTACCTGCCCACCTGCCTACCTACCTACCTACTTTACCTACCTACCTACCTACCTACCTACCTACCTACCTACCAGCCAACCAACCAACCAACCAACATACCTACCTACCTACCTACCTACCCACTTACCTATCTACCTACCTACCTACGCACTTACCTATCTACCTTCCTAAGTACCTACCCACCTACCTACCTACCTATCTACCTACCTACCTACCTACCTACATGCCTACCTACCAGCCAACCAACCAACCAACATACCTACCTACCTACCTACCTACACACTTACCTATCTACCTACCTACCTACCTACCCACTTACCTATCTACCTTTCTAAGTACCTACCCACCTACCTATCTACCTACCTACCTGTCTTAATTTATCATAATGTTTCTCTTCCATGTACGCATGACACCACTACATGTACGCATGGCACCACTACATGTACGCATGGCACCACTACATGTACGCATGGCACCACTACAGTGGCAGGTGGTTGACAACTACACCATCTCTCTGGCACTGTCCGAGGCAGTGCCAACCACCTACAACCTGTATTGTTTCGGCGGTGACTCTTTCTGCGGTGCCAAGGTGAAGGTGGGATGTAAGTACCTACTGCCAGTTGAACAGTGACAGCAGGTGTTAGTAGACTAACACCCAGGTACCTACTTACTGCTAGGTGAACAGTGACAGCAGGTGTTAGTACTCTAACACCCAGGCACCTACTTACTGCTAGGTGAACACTGACAGCAGGTGTTAGTAGACTAACACCCAGGTACCTACTTACTGCTAGGTGAACAGTGACAGCAGGTGTTAGTACTCTAACACCCAGGCACCTACTTACTGCTAGGTGAACACTGACAGCAGGTGTTAGTAGACTAACACCCAGGTACCTACTTACTGCTAGGTGAACAATGACAGCAGGTGTTAGTAGATTAACACCCAGGTACCTACTTACTGCTAGGTGAACAGTGATAGCAGGTGTTAGTAGACTAACACCCAGGTACCTACTTAATAGTAAGTGAGCAGTGACAGCAGGTGATAGTAGACTAACATCCAGGTACCTACTTCTTAGTATAACATGTGAATAGGTCAGGAGGGAGTCAGGTAACTCCTTAAACATCGAGATCAACCTTGAAGGGCCACCTCGATCACCTTCTCCACCTTCTCCTCCTCCAGATAAGCCCCTGGATGTGGAGAACTTCGAGTGTGTCTCCTACAACTGGCTCCTGCTGCATTGTACCTGGTCGTTACCTAACAACCCAGCCCAGGATGCTGTCTACAAGCCTTACCTACTGTCTTCCACGTCATCTGGGTAGGTTAGTCACCTAACCTTGTGGGTAGGTTACAGTCACCTAACCTTGTGGGTAGGTTACAGTCACCTAACCTTGTGGGTAGGTCATGTGTGTGTGTGTACTCACTTATTTGTGGCTGCAGGGGTCGAGTCACAGCTTCTGGCCCTGTGTATGTTACATAACACCTGTCTTGCTGTCACACAGAGCTGAGTGCAGTCCGTCAGACAGCTGTCAGGACCTTCAAACATGCTGTCAATGGCAACCCCCGGAATATTCCCAGTCTGACAGACACCTGTCTGTCATATTTGACACGTCTAACAGCCTGGACAGTGAGGTGGTCAAGTTCAACCATACCTTTGACAACTATGCAATAGGTCAGTACAGTTATGATAATGTTGATAAATTAGACACATGTGCAACTCTTGGGTATCTTTATTGAGGAAACGTTTCGCCACACAGTGGCTTCATCAGTCCATACAAAGGAGAATCGTGAAGAACAGGAGGAGAACGAGGTAATCAGTCCCTCAACCTTGAGTCGATGTGGTCAGTCCATCAATCTTGAATAGAATACGGCATACGTGCTGAGAAGGAGCTTATAAACCGTATGGCAGGAGAGGTGCAGCAGTCATAGGTGGTGTCACATTTGTCAAATGTGTAACAAATGTGACACCACCTATGACTGCTGCACCTCTCCTGCCATACGGTTTATAAGCTCCTTCTCCGCTGATATGCCGTATTCTATTCAAGATTGATGGACTGAACACATCGACTCAAGGTTGAGGGACTGATCACCTCATTCTCCTCCTGTTCTTCAAAATTCTCCTTTGTATGGACTGATAAAGCCACTGTGTGGCGAAACGTTTCCTCAATAAAGATACCCAAGAGTTGCACATGTGTCTAATTTATCAACATGTCGGTTCTCTGAACCATTCATCTACAAACACAGTTATGATATCCAGGACTGTTGTTATTATTATTATTATTAAGTTGAATAACGAACGTTAAGGCCCATGTTGTGTGGTCACAGTGCTTCCCAATGCGGCCTTGAACGTGGTAGTGACGTCCGTGGATGGGTCACTGTCAGCAGAGGTGAATTGGTCACTGCCAGCACCGATGGACGTGTTCAATACGAACTGTGGTATCGTGTCCCTGGTTGACTACCGTCTCCAGCAAGACCCCTGGATTGTGGTAAGTGCCCCTGAGTCATGGTAAGTACCCCTGGATTATAGTAAGTACCCCTGAGTCATGATAAGAATAATAAGGGACCCAGAGTTCCCCAAGGTAGTATTCTGGGTCCCTTATTATTCTTATGTTATGTCAATGATATGCCTATCAGTGTCAAGTGCAAACTCCTACTGTATGCAGATGACAGTGCTCTGTTAGTGACAGGTAAAGACCCGCAAGATATTGCTAATGTTTTAACACTGGAACTGGAGTCCTGCAGCAAATGGTTAGTAGACAACAAACTATCATTACACCTAGGGAAAACTGAAGCCATTCTCTTTGGCACGAAACATAAACTGAGAAGGGTAAATAATTTTAATGTTCAGTGTAATGGGGAGCCCATCACTTTGGTTTCATCAGTTAAATATCTGGGAATCCCCTTTGACCCATGCATGTCAGGAGAATTGATAGGGAACAGTGTAGTAAAGAAAGTGAATGCCAGACTGAAGTTCCTGTATAGACAAGCACAGTGTCTACCTACTGAGGCACAGTGTCTACCTACTGAGGCTCGCAGGACCCTATGTCTAACCCTTATACAATGCCATATGGATTACGCTTGCTCTTCTTGGTACTCTGCCTTGACAAAAAAACTGAAAGATAGACTGCAAATCACCCAGAACAAAATCGTAAGATTCATCCTGGGGCTGGGACCAAGAGAACATGTAGGCCAGGATGAATTACAGCAGTTGGATATGCTGAATGTTGAAGACAGAGTAAAACAACTGAAGCTAAATCATGTTTATAAAATTGCTCACAAACAATGTCCAGAATATCTTGCTGTCAATTTTGTCAAGGTTGGGAACCGCAGCAATCATAGTACTAGGGGGAGAGAGCACAACTTTGTAGTACCCACAGTCAGTGGCCAGGCTTCAAACACCTTTTATTGTACAGCAATAAAGGAATGGAACAGACTGCCCGCACATGTCAAAGCCAGTCATAGCATGAACCAGTTCAAGAAGAGTGCCAAAAGGTGTCTGATGAATGTAGCTACAGAAAGGGAGGGGAATGATTTTCTATTTTTTAGCTAACATACGTGTAAATTTGGCCTTATTCCTAGTAATGACCCTCGTGTAGTAGATAGTCTTAATGACCCTCGTGTAGTAGATAGTCTTAATGACCCTCGTGTAGTAGATAGTCTTAATGACCCTCGTATTGTAGATAGTCTTAATGGCCCTCGTGTAGTAGATAGTCTTAATGACCCTCGTGTAGTAGATAGTCTTAATGACCCTCGTATTGTAGATAGTCTTAATGGCCCTCGTGTAGTAGATAGTCTTAATGACCCTCGTGTAGTAGATAGTCTTAATGACCCTCGTATTGTAGATAGTCTTAATGACCCTCGTGTAGTAGATAGTCTTAATGACCCTCGTGTAGTAGATAGTCTTAATGACCCTCGTATTGTAGATAGTCTTAATGGCCCTCGTGTAGTAGATAGTCTTAATGACCCTCGTGTAGTAGATAGTCTTAATGACCCTCGTATTGTAGATAGTCTTAATGACCCTCGTGTAGTAGATAGTCTTAATGACCCTCGTGTAGTAGATAGTCTTAATGACCCTCGTGTAGTAGATAGTCTTAATGACCCTCGTGTAGTAGATAGTCTTAATGACCCTCGTGTAGTAGATAGTCTTAATGACCCTCGTATTGTAGATAGTCTTAATGACCCTCGTGTAGTAGATAGTCTTAATGACCCTCGTGTAGTAGATAGTCTTAATGACCCTCGTATTGTAGATAGTCTTAATGGCCCTCGTGTAGTAGATAGTCTTAATGACCCTCGTGTAGTAGATAGTCTTAATGATCCTCGTATTGTAGATAGTCTTAATGACCCTCGTGTAGTAGATAGTCTTAATGACCCTCGTGTAGTAGATAGTCTTAATGACCCTCGTGTAGTAGATAGTCTTAATGACCCTCGTGTAGTAGATAGTCTTAATGACCCTCGTGTAGCAGATAGTCTTAATGACCCTCGTGTAGTAGATAGTCTTAATGACCCTCGTGTAGTAGTCTTAATGACCCTCGTGTAGCAGATAGTCTTAATGACCCTCGTGTAATAGATAGTCTTAATGACCCTCGTGTAGTAGATAGTCTTAATGACCCTCGTGTAGTAGATAGTCTTAATGACCCTCGTATAGTAGTCTTGTACCTGAATAAACTTACTTACTTACTTATAAATACCCCTGTATCATAGTAAGTACCCCTGAGTCATGGTAAGTACACCTGGATCATGGTAAGTACACCTGGATCATGGTAAGTACCCCTGGATCATAGTAAGTGCCCCTGAGTCATGGTAAGTACACCTGGATCATGGTAAGTACACCTGGATCATGGTAAGTACACCTGGATCATGGTAAGTACCCCTGGATCATAGTAAGTACCCCTGAGTCATGGTAAGTACACCTGGATCATGGTAAGTACACCTGGATCATGGTAAGTACACCTGGATCATGGTAAGTACCCCTAGATCATGGTAAGTACACCTGGATCATGGTAAGTACCCCTGGATCATGGTAAGTACACCTGGATCATGGTAAGTACACCTGGATCATGGTAAGTACACCTGGATCATGGTAAGTACCCCTGGATCATAGTAAGTGCCCCTGAGTCATGGTAAGTACACCTGGATCATGGTAAGTACACCTGGATCATGGTAAGTACCCCTGGATCATAGTAAGTACCCCTGAGTCATGGTAAGTACACCTGGATCATGGTAGGTACTCCTGGATCATGGTAAGTACCCCTGTATCATAGTAAGTGCCCCTGAGTCATGGTAAGTACACCTGGATCATGGTAAGTACACCTGGATCATGGTAAGTACCCCTGGATCATAGTAAGTGCCCCTGAGTCATGGTAAGTACACCTGGATCATGGTAAGTACACCTGGATCATGGTAAGTACCCCTGTATCATAGTAAGTGCCCCTGAGTCATGGTAAGTACACCTGGATCATGGTAAGTACACCTGGATCATGGTAAGTACACCTGGATCATGGTAAGTACCCCTGGATCATAGTAAGTGCCCCTGAGTCATGGTAAGTACACCTGGATCATGGTAAGTACACCTGGATCATGGTAAGTACACCTGGATCATGGTAAGTACCCCTGGATCATAGTAAGTGCCCCTGTGTCATGGTAATTACCACTTGACCATGGTAAGTACCCCTAGATCTTGATAAGTACCCCTAGATGTTCGTAAGTACCCCTGGATCGTGGAAAGTACCCCTGGATCATGGTAGAATAAGGTCCCTAAAGCAGGGTGCCACAATAAGGTCTCTAAAACAGGGTGCCACAATAAGGTTCTTGCCACAGGGTGCCACAGTGAATGATATACTTGCCACAGGGTTTACCTGGAGTTTACCTGGAGAGAGTTCCGGGGGTCAACGCCCCCGCGGCCCGGTCTGTGACCAGGCCTCCTGATATACTTGCCACAGGGTGCCACAGTGAATGATATACTTGCCACAGGGTGCCACAGGAGAGTGCCAGAAGGCCAGGTGCTGGACAGTGGTCCAGCTGGACCACTGGTGGACAGAGTACGAGGTCAGAGTACGTTTACGGTCCGCTGCAGCCAACTTCACTCTGGATGACGATGGATGGTGGTCGTCAGGGTCATCCACCACCACCCTGACCCCCTCAGCAGGTCAGTCATCTTGAACTCTCTTATCCGGTGTATACTTGTGTTCTGATCATCCAGAAGTGTTCAGATCTCTTCTAAAAGTGTTCAGATCCTTCTAAAAGTGTTCAGATCTCTTCTAAAAGTGTTCAGATCCTTCATACAGGTGCTCAAAATATTCTAAAAGTGTTCAGATCCTTTATAAATTGTTCAGATCCTTCTAAAAATGTTCAGATGATTTATAAAGCATTCAGATCCTTCATAAAGGTGTACAGATCCTATATAAAGGTGTTCAAATCTTTCTAAAAGTGTTCAGATCTTTCTAAAAGTGCTCAGATCCTTCTAAAAGTGTTCAGATCCTTCTAAAAGTGTTCAAATCCCTTCTAAAAGTGTTCAGATCTTTCTAAAAGTGTTCAGATCCTTCTAAAAGTGTTCAGATCCTTCTAAAAGTGTTCAGATCCCTTTTAAAGGTGTTCAGATCTTTCTAAAAGTGTTCAGATCCTTCTAAAAGTATTCAGATCCTTCTAAAAGTGTTCAGATCCCTTCTAAAGGTGTTCAGATCCTTCTAAAAGTGTTCAGATCCTTCTAAAGAGAGAGAGAGAGAGACTTAATAACACTGTCGCTGTTATCAGTACCTGAAGTGGCACCTGCCGTAGGACCTGGCACCTTCCTGGTCACCATCAGGTCACTACAACAACGTGACCTCACCTTCACCTGGAGACCTGTCCCTACCCTCCTTCACAATGCTCCTGACTTCACCTACTTCGTCAGCGCCTCTGTCAGCGCTACTAGGTGAGTTAAGGTGTGTGTGTGTGTGTGTGTGTGTGTGTGTGTGTGTGTGTGTGTGTGTGTGTGTGTGTGTGTGTGTGTGTGTGTGAGTCCAGATGTTACCGTTCACATGTTGATGTACACAGCATGTGTTTATCTTGGTGTACACACACGCACACACATACACACGCCAGTGAAGAAGAGGGACAAGGAGCTATGACTCGACCCCTGCAACCACAGTTAGGTGAGTACAATTAGGTGAGTATACAAAGGTGACACAACTGGAAGTTGAAGATTCAGGCGAGTGACAGTAACGTTAAAAAGTATTTTTTAAGTCATAGAGTTGTCAGGAAGTGGAATCTGGAGAGTGATGTAGTGGAGGCAGGATCCATACATAGCTTTAAGAAGAGGTATGATAAAGTTCAAGGAAAAGGGAGAGAGTGGACCTAGTAGTGACCAGTGAAGAGGCGGGGCCAAGGGTTGTGACTCTACCTCTACAACCACAGTCAGGTGAGTACAACATCTGTGAGTACAACATCTGGTGGCCCGGTGGCCTGGTGGGTAAAGCTCCCGCTTCACACACGGAGGGCCCGGGTTCGATTCCCGGCGGGTGGAAATTCCGACACGTTTCTTTACACCTATTGTCCTGTTCACCTAGCAGCAAATAGGTACCTGGGTGTTAGTCGACTGGTGTGGGTCGCATCCTGGGAGACAAGATTAAGGACCCCAATGGAAATAAGTTAGACAGTCCTCGATGACGAACTGACTTTCTTGGGTTATCCTGGGTTGCTAACCCTCCGGGGTTAAAAATCCGAACGAAATCTTATCTTAAGGACTTCTACAGTTGTCAGGACAGGTGTGTGGTGTCAGGGGAAGTTTCAGGGGGTGGTGTCAAGGGAGGTTTCAGGGGGGTAGTGTCAGGTGTGTAGTGTCACTAACAACAGTATTGTGTTTCAGGGAGACAGTCGCAAATGCTACTGTAATGGACACCTTTGTCACCTTCACCAACCTTTCCACTAGCCAGTCTTACAGGTAAGTCCTCTCCTGTGTGTACTACCCTGTGTGTACCACCCTGTGTGTACTACCCTGTATGTACTACCCTGTGAGTCCTCCCCTGTGTGTACTACCCTGTGTGTACTACCCTGTGTGCACTACCCCTAGCTGGGGTAGTGCCCTGGGACATGTCTGTCAGCTATGTGGGGTAGATGGTATACGTAACAGGTATCCATACTACTGACAGCTCGTAACATGCTACAGTACGTCGACCTTATTATGCAGTTAACTAGTACTAACGGAGCAGCAGATACGATGGTCAACAAACAACGATTCTATATAAAGAAGAGGATGTTATATAGTAAGAGAATATATGTCATATTTACAGATCATATGAAAAGGATAATGAATGATGGTAGATTAGTATTGAAGGAAGATTGATCAGTCACTATTCAGGGGGTTTGTGGATCCTGGAGAAGCTAACATTTCTGGATTTTAAGCCTTTCTGACTATGGATGTTAGGTTCATCAGCACAGGTGCTGTCCTAGCTCAAGACTGATAACAGGTATAACCTAGTTTTATTTGCTCTCCAAGTCCTCGCCATCTCCTTCCAAGGTGGAGAGTTTACAGCATTTTTCCTCTTAGAGCAGATCAACTTCCCAAGTGATCTCATGGGATTTGCATTGATGCATGATCTCCATATTGAGCTTGACTTATAACAATGGCATTCCTGAATCAGCAACTTGCTTGTACCATTCTATGGCTACTAGCTTGAATCTGAGATCAGTCATATTGCATCTGAGTATGAGGTTTGGATTAAGTCTTTGCAGAGTTCTATATTTTTAAGTAATGTAACCAAGTGGTAAGACAATTGTAACATGATAATTGTGTACCTACTCCTGATACCATGCCCCTTCTGTTTTTGGCTCTATATCCTGCTTCAGCATTTCCAGTTCATCTTCTAGGCTCTGTATCCTGGCCTCTGCAGCTTTGGCTTGTAGCACCCACTTCTTGCTACACAGGATAGTGCACAGTGAATTCATAATTTCATGTGAGGGCCACATCCATTTCCTAGAACGGCCACGTGTGGCCCACAGGCCACAGGTTGGGGGACCCCTGCACTAGATTGTCAGTTGCCCTTTGTGATCCAGATGGTGATAATGCAATAATGATTCTTGCAAGATATAGAGCTAGTTCATCAAACTATCTTTGCATGCAATACGTGATGACAAGGTTCATCTTTTCTTTACAACCATCACTGCTCAGAGTGACCACCCACATGGACCTTGTTCGCTACCCATATCCTGTTTGGGAAGCGGACGAGTCACCATACCAGTGGGGTCAGTTCTATTTATCCTGGGGAGAGTCGATCCCACCTGCCTCTTCCGAGGTGTGGGTTCAGATCCCACTGCTGTCACTATTTTTTGGTGGGAATTTGATAATGGGTTTAACTGAATGATTGGAGTGGCCATATTGATAAGAGTCTGATAAGTCGCCTGGTCAACATCCTGCCTCACTCATAAGTAAATCACGACTGCTCTGGTGGCCTGGTGGTTAACGCTCTGGCTTCACACGGTGAGGGCCTGGGTTCGATTCCCAGCCAGAGTAGAAACATTGGACGTGTTTCTTTCCACCTGTTGTCTATGTTCCCCATCAGTAAAATGGGTACCTGGGTGTTAGTCGACTGGTGTGGGTCGCATCCTGGGACACTGACCTAAGGAGGCCTGGTCACAGACCGGGCCGCGGGGGCGTTGACCCCCGGAACTCTCTCCAGATAAACTCCAGATAAATGGGCACTGCAGAAGAGTCCTTCGAAAATGCTGATGTCAAATCTGTGACCCCTAACATACCCCTAATACTGGGAAAAGTCTGACAGCTATGTGAGTGGGTGGGTATACATACTACTGACACTACCCTGTGTGTAATGCCTTGTGTGTACTCTATGATGATGTTAATGTTCCCACAGATTGGAAGTTGTGGGTCAGAACAGTGAGGGTATGGGACAGGAGAGGTCGTGGGTGCAAGTGTGGGCAACCAGGGACATGCCCCAAGTACCCACCCTGCCTGTCGTTATAATACATCAACTACAACAACAACAGCTGTATGAGCTCAGGTAAGACTCATTAGTGAGCTGAGTATGGTCCCACACTGTAACTTATATAGAATAGTGTAGCAACACTGCTGGTGTTCCCACAATGTAACTATCGAATACAATAGTGTAGCAAAACACTGCGGGTGCTCCTTTTACAGGTGGTCTGGTAATGGTGAGAATGATACTCATTCTACTGTGTACCTTTGCACCGATGGCCTCAACACCAAGCAACCATGTAAGGTCAGTACAAGGTTGCTACAAGGTATTTAAGTTTTATGGGAGATGGATGGGAACCGCTGCTATTCTTAACTTTGAAAAATGGTAGGCAGGTATGATATCCCTTGAAGGGTTGAGCTATATTCTTCTGTAATAAAGGACAGGCGATGCCAGTTGCTGACAGTGCTGACTGTTGTATCCCCTGGCAGGCTGACATCTACTGGCTGACAGTGGGTGAGCTGACATCTGTCAATCTCACTCTGGCTGACTTCAACCTGACGGATGCTGATGGAGGTTCTGGAGTGAGGTTTGGAGTGTCAGTGGAAGCTGTGGAGTCAGGGGCCTCCAGTGGTATGTCCTGGGATACCTGCACCATTCCCAGGGTATACTCCACCGCCCTCACTCCACCTACTGTAATCACGCCCATTGATGTGTAGGTAACCACCCCCATTAAGGTATTCCTACAAATGGGGATACCTGTTAACAGATAGTCTCCTCTGGGGATACCTAATAACAGAGATATCCCCCTCTAGCGATACCTATTAACAGATAGTCCCTCTAAAGCAGTGGTTCCCAAACTGGCGGTAAATTACCCCCTGGGGGTAATTTAACCATTTTTGGGGGGTAATGGAGGGGTGACAGAAAAAAAGTTATGAATTCTGAAAATCAAGAAAACAATGCGGTACCCGGTATGAGGATTATTGTTAACTTTGTCTTAGTATATAAAGTTGTAAAGTAAACCTATTATAAGTAAGTAATAAAGTTAAACCAAATAACAATAAACATCAAAAACTAATATACAGTATCAGAAAAGAAGAAATATATAGCTAAGTGTGTGGAAACCCAAATAGTATTTTGACAAGTATGCTTCAGGACAAAAGTCACTCAGTAGCCCAGATCGACCTGTCCAGTACGCGTCACTCACTTCCTGAGGCTGCCTCTATTTCACACTGTCAGTTTATCTGTTGAGCATCAGCCGAGGTAGACATAAGCTGGTATGTATGTGTACTGCCCTGTGCAGTATATAGTTAGTATTTACCCACTGTTACTGTGAATTTGTAGCTATTATTAATTTTATATATAATGTATGTGTGGTTCTTACGTTTTCAATGGTTTTGCTAGGATTAGCAGAGTATGCGAGGCTGTATACATTCACGTTTAGCCATATATATCAATAATAACAACATTTTGTGAAAGGGGTAACATACTTTATGTGGCATGTTAAATTGGGTAACAAGCTGAAAAAGTTTGGGAACCACTGCTCTAAAGGATACCTATTGACACCTACATAACGCGATATTGTTGGGTTGTAAGGGTACATTACAGCTCAGTATTGTTGGGTTATAAGGGTACATTACAGCTCAATATTGTTTGGTTATAAGGTTACATTACAGCTCAATATTATTCGGTTATAAGGGTACATTACAGCTCATATTGTTGGGTTTTGAGGGTACATTACAGTTCAGTATTGTTGGGTTATAAGGGTACATAACAGCTTGTTATTGTTGGATTTAAATTCACCCCAAGTCTGGGCCATATATACATAAATATATCAGAGGGTTAAGGGATGACCCCATATATTAATGATCTGCATATTGGGGTTAAGGGGTAACCCCGTATATTAATGGTCTGCTTATGTACCGTCAGGACCGACACCATGGCCAGGATAGAGTGGTCCTTGGACTGTGATAACTGGGCAGGTGTAGTGGAGGCCATTGAGACTATTTACTGTACAGGTTACTACAACCTCTCGCAGGACTGTTTTGGTAAGTGTCATTACATTGCCTAAAGTATTCACTCCTTGATAAGACATGTACAACACCTGAGTGTCTTTATTGATGAATAAGAAAATGTACAACATATGTCTTATTTATAAGCAAGTTCATTCTAAAATTTTTTGTTATACATTTAAAGATATATTTTTTAATTTATGTTAATGTAAAAAAATAATCATTTTGTACCAAAAGAACCTTAGGAAACTTACTTAACCTTATTATAAAAAGAGAAATTTAATTTAGCCTAATCAAAATAAATATATTTTAGATGAGTTTACAATAATTTAATACTAAACAAACTCAATGAAATATATTTTATTCGTTAGGTTCAGAATGATTTTTGCGAAATTATTGCATACACAGATTTTCGCTTGTCTTATTCGGCAAGAAGAGCGTTGTTATTTAAGCCAAAAAAAAACTTCAAGTTGTATATATTATAGAAGGTGGTCAGTACCTCAGTCATGATAGAAGGTGGTCAGTACCTCAGTCATGATAGAAGGTAGTCAGTACCTCAGTCATGATAGAAGGTGGTACCTCAGTCATGATAGAAGGTAGTCAGTACCTCAGTCATGATAGAAGGTGGTCAGTACCTCAGTCATGATAGAAGGTAGTCAGTACCTCAGTCATGATAGAAGGTGGTCAGTCCCTCAGTCATGATAGAAGGTGGTCAGTGCCTCAGTCATGATAGAAGGTAGTCAGTACCTCAGTCATGATAGAAGGTGGTCAGTACCTCAGTCATGATAGAAGGTGGTCAGTACCTCAGTCATGATAGAAGGTGGTCAGTGCCTCAGTCATGATAGAAGGTAGTCAGTACCTCAGTCATGATAGAAGGTGGTCAGTCCCTCAGTCATGATAGAAGGTAGTCAGTGCCTCAGTCATGATAGAAGGTAGTCAGTACCTCAGTCATGATAGAAGGTAGTCAGTACCTCAGTCATGATAGAAGGTGGTCAGTGCCTCAGTCATGATAGAAGGTGGTCAGTACCTCAGTCATGATAGAAGCTGGTCAGTCCCTCAGTCATGATAGAAGGTGGTCAGTGCCTCAGTCATGATAGAAGGTAGTCAGTACCTCAGTCATGATAGAAGGTGGTCAGTCCCTCAGTCATGATAGAAGGTGGTCAGTGCCTCAGTCATGATAGAAGGTAGTCAGTACCTCAGTCATGATAGAAGGTGGTCAGTGCCTCAGTCATGATAGAAGGTGGTCAGTGCCTCAGTCATGTTAGAAGGTAGTCAGTACCTCAGTCATGTTAGAAGGTAGTCAGTACCTCAGTCATGATAGAAGGTAGTCAGTACCTCAGTCATGATAGAAGGTAGTCAGTACCTCAGTCATGATAGAAGGTAGTCAGTACCTCAGTCATGATAGAAGGTGGTCAGTACCTCAGTCATGATAGAAGGTGGTCAGTACCTCAGTCATGATAGGTGGTCAGTACCTCAGTCATGATAGAAGGTGGTCAGTACCTCAGTCATGATAGAAGGTAGTCAGTACCTCAGTCATGATAGAAGGTGGTCAGTACCTCAGTCATGATAGAAGGTAGTCAGTACCTCAGTCATGATTAGAAGGTGGTCAGTACCTCAGTCATGATAGAAGGTAGTCAGTACCTCAGTCATGATAGAAGGTGGTCAGTACCTCAGTCATGATAGAAGGTAGTCAGTACCTCAGTCATGATAGAAGGTGGTCAGTACCTCAGTCATGATAGAAGGTAGTCAGTACCTCAGTCATGATAGAAGGTGGTCAGTACCTCAGTCATGATAGAAGGTAGTCAGTACCTCAGTCATGATAGAAGGTAGTCAGTACCTCAGTCATGATAGAAGGTAGTCAGTACCTCAGTCATGATAGAAGGTAGTCAGTACCTCAGTCATGATAGGTGGTCAGTACCTCAGTCATGATAGAAGGTGGTCAGTACCTCAGTCATGATAGAAGGTGGTCAGTACCTCAGTCATGATAGAAGGTAGTCAGTACCTCAGTCATGATAGAAGGTAGTCAGTACCTCAGTCATGATAGAAGGTGGTCAGTACCTCAGTCATGATAGAAGGTGGTCAGTACCTCAGTCATGATAGAAGGTGGTCAGTACCTCAGTCATGATAGAAGGTAGTCAGTACCTCAGTCATGATAGAAGGTAGTCAGTACCTCAGTCATGATAGAAGGTGGTCAGTACCTCAGTCATGATAGAAGTTGGTCAGTACCTCAGTCATGATAGAAGGTGGTCAGTACCTCAGTCATGATAGAAGGTAGTCAGTACCTCAGTCATGATAGAAGGTAGTCAGTACCTCAGTCATGATAGAAGGTGGTCAGTACCTCAGTCATGATAGAAGGTAGTCAGTACCTCAGTCATGATAGAAGGTAGTCAGTACCTCAGTCATGATAGAAGGTGGTCAGTACCTCAGTCATGATAGAAGGTGGTCAGTTATTTATTTTAAGCAAATATCCTTTCCCTATTTCAGGTGAAGTGCAGGTGGAGAGTGAAGTGTGGCTAGGTGAGGTGAAGGTGAGGCACCTAGCACCTGAAACACTCTATACTGTGTGGCTGAGAGTCACCTATCGTGCTGGAACCTCACAGTGGTCACCTGCCCAGAATTTTACCACTGATAACCCACCTGGTAGGTTCTTGGTTCACCTGATAACTCACCTGGTTCGCCTGATCTTATCGTTTAGACGTTTCTCCCAATAGTGACTATCAAGGTAGTCAGTCCCTCAATATTGACAGTTGATCAGTCCCCTGACAGGTGTGTGTCTTGATGACAGGTAGGGAGTACCTTGAAGACAGCTAGAGGTCTTGATGCCAGCTAGGGAGTGCCTTGAAGACAGCTAGAGGTCTTGATGACAGCTAGGTAGTGCCTCGAAGACAGCTAGAGGTCTTGATGACAGCTAGGGAGTGCCTTGAAGACAGCTAGAGGTCTTGATGCCAGCTAGGGAGTGCCTTGAAGACAGCTAGATGTCTTAATGCCAGCTAGAGAGTGCCTCGAAGACAGCTAGAAGTCTTGATGACAGCTAGGGAGTGCCTTGAAGACAGCTAGAAGTCTTGATGACAGCTAGGGAGTGCCTTGAAGACAGCTAGAAGTCTTGATAACAGCTAGGGAGTGCCTTGAAGACAGCTAGAGGTCTTGATGACAGCTAGGGAGTGCCTCGAAGATAGCTAGAGGTCTTGATGACAGCTACGGAGTGCCTTGAAGACAGCTAGAAGTCTTGATGACAGCTAGGGAGTGCCTCGAAGACAGCTAGAAGTCTTGATGCCAGCTAGGGAGTGCCTTGAAGACAGCTAGAGGTCTTGACGACAGCTAGGGAGTACCTCGAAGACAGCTAGAAGTCTTGATGCCAGCTAGGGAGTGCCTTGAAGACAGCTAGAAGTCTTGATGCCAGCTAGGGAGTGCCTTGAAGACAGCTAGAAGTCTTGATGCCAGCTAGGGAGTGCCTTCAAGACAGCTAGAAGTCTTGATGACAGCTAGGGAGTGCCTCGAAGACAGCTAGAAGTCTTGATGACAGCTAGGGAGTGCCTTGAAGACAGCTAGAGGTCTTGATGACAGCTAGGGAGTGCCTTGAAGACAGCTAGAGGTCTTGACGACAGCTAGGGAGTACCTCGAAGACAGCTAGAAGTCTTGATGCCAGCTAGGGAGTGCCTTGAAGACAGCTAGAAGTCTTGATGACAGCTAGGGAGTGCCTTGAAGACAGCTAGAAGTCTTGATGCCAGCTAGGGAGTGCCTTCAAGACAGCTAGAAGTCTTGATGACAGCTAGGGAGTGCCTCGAAGACAGCTAGAAGTCTTGATGACAGCTAGGGAGTGCCTCGAAGACAGCTAGAAGTCTTGATGACAGCTAGGGAGTGCCTTGAAGACAGCTAGAAGTCTTGATGCCAGCTAGGGAGTGCCTTGAAGACAGCTAGAAGTCTTGATGCCAGCTAGGGAGTGCCTTCAAGACAGCTAGAAGTCTTGATGACAGCTAGGGAGTGCCTCGAAGACAGCTAGAAGTCTTGATGACAGCTAGGGAGTGCCTTGAAGACAGCTAGAAGTCTTGATGCCAGCTAGGGAGTGCCTTGAAGACAGCTAGAAGTCTTGATGCCAGCTAGGGAGTGCCTTCAAGACAGCTAGAAGTCTTGATGACAGCTAGGGAGTGCCTCGAAGACAGCTAGAAGTCTTGATGACAGCTAGGGAGTGCCTCGAAGACAGCTAGAAGTCTTGATGACAGCTAGGGAGTGCCTTGAAGACAGCTAGAGGTCTTGATGACAGCTAGGGAGTGCCTTGAAGACAGCTAGAGGTCTTGATGACAGCTAGGGAGTGCCTTGAAGACAGCTAGAGGTCTTGATGCCAGCTAGGGAGTGCCTTGAAGACAGCTAGAAGTCTTGATGACAGCTAGAAGTCTTGATGCCAGCTAGGGAGTGCCTTGAAGACAGCTAGAGGTCTTGATGACAGCTAGGGAGTGCCTCGAAGACAGCTAGAAGTCTTGATGACAGCTAGGGTGTGCCTCGAAGACAGCTAGAAGTCTTGGTGACAGCTAGGGAGTGCCTCGAAGACAGCTAGAATTCTTGGCGACAGCTAGGGAGTGCCTTGAAGACAGCTAAAGGTCTTGATGACAGCTAGGGAGTGCCTCGAAGACAGCTAGAGGTCTTGATGACAGCTACGGAGTTCCTTGAAGACGGCTAGAAGTCTTGATGACAGCTAGGGAGTGCCTCGAAGACAGCAAGAAGTCTTGATGACAGCTAGGGAGTGCCTTGAAGACAGCTAGAGGTCTTGACGACAGCTAGGGAGTACCTCGAAGACAGCTAGAAGTCTTGATGACAGCTAGGGAGTGCCTCGATGACAGCTAGAAGTCTTGATGCCAGCTAGGGAGTGCCATGAAGACAGCTAGAAGTCTTGATGCCAGCTAGGGAGTGCCTTGAAGACAGCTAGAAGTATTGATGACAGCTAGGGAGTGCCTCGAAGACAGCTAGAAGTCTTGATGACAGCTAGGGAGTGCCTTGAAGACAGCTAGAGGTCTTGATGACAGCTAAGGAGTGTCTTGAAGACAGCTAGAAGTCTTGATGACAGCTAGGGAGTGCCTCGAAGACAGCTAGAAGTCTTGGTGACAGCTAGGGAGTGCCTTGAAGACAGCTAGAAGTCTTGATGACAGCTAGGGAGTGCCTTGAAGACAGCTAGAAGTCTTGATGACAGCTAGGGAGTGCCTTGAAGACAGCTAGAGGTCTTGATGCCAGCTAGGGAGTGCCTTGAAGAGAGCTAGAGGTCTTGATGACAGCTAGGGAGTGCCTTGAAGAGAGCTAGAGGTCTTGATGACAGCTAGGGAGTGCCTTGAAGACAGCTAGAAGTCTTGATGACAGCTAGGGAGTGCCTCGAAGACAGCTAGAAGTCATGATGACAGCTAGGGAGTGCCTTGAAGACAGCTAGAAGTCTTGATGACAGCTAGGGAGTGCCGTGAAGACAGCTAGAGGTCTTGATGCCAGCTAGGGAGTGCCTTGAAGACAGCTAGAAGTCTTGATGACAGCTAGGGAGTGCCTCGAAGACAGCTAGAAGTCTTGATGACAGCTAGGGAGTGCCTTGAAGACAGCTAGAAGTCTTGATGACAGCTAGGGAGTGCCTCGAAGACAGCTAGAAGTCTTGATGCCAGCTAGCGAGTGCCTTGAAGACAGCTAGAAGTCTTGATGACAGCTAGGGAGTGCCTTGAAGACAGCTAGAAGTCTTGATGCCAGCTAGGGAGTGCCTTGAAGACAGTAGAGTCTTGATGACAGCTAGGGAGTGCCTCGAAGACAGCTAGAAGTCTTGATGCCAGCTAGGGAGTGCCTTGAAGACAGCTAGGGAGTGCCTTGAAGACAGCTAGGGAGTGCCTTGAATCAGTAAAAGGTCTTGTTTGACAGCAAAGGAGTGCCCGAAGAAGCTAAATCTTGATGACATTTGGGAGTCCTTTGAAGACAGAAAAAGGTCTTGAGGGACAGTAAGGGATTTCCCTTGAAGAAGCTAAAAGTCTTGATGACCGCTAGGGATCCCTTGAAGAGGTTTAGAGGTCTTGATCCCAAACCCTAGGGAGTGCTCGAAGACACCCGGGGGAATTTTAAGGGGGGGAACGTTTTGGGAGTGCCCCCGGAAACAGTTTTGGGGGAAATTCACAGTTTTTAGGGATTCCCTTCGAAGGGCAGAAAAACCCTTGTGCTTTTTAAAGTCCCTCAAGCCGGGTGAAATTTGTTTTACAGCTAGGGGAGTGCCTCGAAAGAAAGTAGAAAAGTCTTGATGGAAGGGTGGGAGTCCTCAAGCCAGTAAAAGGGTTCTTGATGAAGAAGGGATTTCCCTTGAAGAAAGGTGGAAGCCCTTGATGAAGAAGGGGAGTCCTTTGAAGCGGGGCTAGAAGTCTTGATGAAGGGGGGAGTACCTTTTGAAGAAGTAGAAGTCTTGATAAAAGGGTGGGTCCTTTGAAAAAGGGTGGGGGTCCTTTGATGAAAAGGGGTGCCCTTTTGAACGGGTGGATGGTCTTGATGAAAGGGGGGGGGGGGGGGGGGGGGGCCCCCCAAGCCCCCCCCCCCCCCCCCCCAAGGGGGCCCCCCCCCCCCCCCCCCCCTGGGGGGCCGGGGGTTTTGGTTCAGTTCCTTTAAGCAATAAAAGGTGGTCAGAAAACCTTTAGAAGAATAGGGGGTTTGGTCCAGTAATTTTGCCTTGAAAGAAGTGGGTCGCCCAAGGATGTTGAAGGGGGCAAAAGGTCTTGATAGGGGGTTTCCAAGACCTGGGGTCTTGATAAAAGGGTGGATTTCCTGAAAAAAGGGTGGAGTTTTGTCATATTAGGGGTCAAGACCCGGGGTCATGAAGAAAGGGGAGCCTTGGGAAAAAAGGGGTGAGCCTTGTCATTGGGGAAGGGTTGAAACCTGGGGTCTTAAATAAAGGGGAGTCCTCGTAGAAGAAGGGGGGTTGGTATTATTTTTTATAGGGGGGTCTTTTCCCCCAGTCTTGGGTTCTCCTATTTGGTTAAAAATTCTCCCCCCCCCCCCCCCCCCCCCCCCCCTCTTGATAAAGGTTTTTCAGTCTTATTTCTTGTGGGTGGCAGTACCTTTGTCAGTTTAAATTCCCACCCCCCTCTTTTTCCATGTAAAAGGGGGTGTATTTTTATTCATGATAAAAGGTATCTACCTCGTCGATAGAAGGTATTTCAGTCCCTAAGTCATGATAGAAGGTGGTCACCCCCTTTAGCAGGGATAAAAGGTGGTCATACCCTCAGTCATGAAAAAAGGTGGTCGTACCTCGTCTTGAAGAAAGGTGGTCATTTCCTCGAAAGGGATAAAGGTGGGCGTACCTCGTAAAGATAGAAGGGGGGTTTCAGTCCCTCGTCTTTGGTTTGAAGGGTTATCAGTACCTCAGCTTGATAAAAGGGGTAGTCGGGCCTCAGTCTTTGTGGTTTGGTCCGTCCCCTTTAGTCATAAAGGGAAGGGGGTCAGTACCTCGGCATGATAGAAGGGGGTCAGTCCTCAGTCATGTTTAAAGGGTTTGGTCATTCCCTAAAGTCTTGAAAAGGGTGGTCATTTCCTCATCATGGGGGGGGGGGGATAAAAGGGGTGGCATCCCTCAGTAATGATAGGGTGGTCAGTACCTCAGCCCTTTATAGGGTGGTCAGTACCTCAGTCATGAAAGAAGGGGGGTAGTACCTCGAAATGATAAAAGGTATTT